CAGTCTTCTGGTATTATCATTGGACTGTTAATCCAGAGACCCAGGTAATATCCTGGAGACCTGGGTTTGAATCCCACCTCAGCAGATGGTGGAATTTGAATTCAATAAAAAATTTGGAATTAAGAATCTAAGGATAACCATGAATCTATTGTCGATTGTCATCTGGTTCACCAACATCCTTTAGGGAAGGAAACTGCCATCCTTATCCGGTCTGGCCTACAAGGCGATTTGGAATCATATTGTTGGTCTTAACTCTGAGCAGTTAGGGATGGGCAATAAATGCTGGCCTAGCCAGCAACACCCTCATCCTGTGAATGAATAAAAAAAAATGAGGGGGTCCTGCCTCAATCAGCCTAGGTCATCATTCAATCTCAATCTGGGGGCCTGCACATGGTTAATTGGCTGCTTGAGTTGTTCAGGGTCAAGGTTTCCAGGAAGTTGGCCATTATTAGTCCTGCAGGTCCAGGGCAACAAGTCAGAGAATTGGTGGTAAATCAGTCAGGGAGCTGCATAGAGATTGAGCTTGGTCAGGACTCTGATCAGTTATCAGTTGGGGTTGTTTTTCCAAATCACTAATGGTCAGTCCAAGGCTCTGTTCACTGAAAGTCAAAAGGAGTTGTCAGAGGCCAGTGCTGTGGCGGACAAGTTGGGGAAGTCAATTCTGGGGACTGGAGGCAGCATCCTGTGTAGTGTAGACAAGACATTATGTTGGGCTGGGACTCAAGGTATAAAAGTGGGAGGTAGTGCATTAGACAACACGTAACATCGGAAGGTCATCGAAAGTGAACTGCACACTGGCTTCGACAACTAAGCTGCAGGCCTGGGACAGGAAAACTTGAATGAAAGGTTTAATGGGAATGTGGGGAAGCTCAGTACTGACGGGTTCAGCAGGGAATGCGATGAAGAAAGGGACATGAGGATTTCCAGTTTTCAACTGAATGACCAGGCTGAATCTACAACCCAGTCTGTGAAGTGTGACCTGTATTGTCTTCTGACCTTAAGCAGATCACAAGTATGCAATAGAAATGAAGACTGGCTGCAATCACAACGAGATTGGGGAGGGTGTATCTTTTTTGTCTGAAGAGGCAGGTTCTGCTTTTGAGTGATGTGCAGCTTTTCAAGGAGCAATTGCATTCATCTGGCACTTACACAGTAAAGATTTCAGATAATGATAAAGAAAATAAGATATCATAGATTTCTGTATATGAAACACATGTAGTGATAATCTATGTCAAACACAAATCCTGGCCACAAGCAATCTTTGCCACCTAATTAGCCACTATCGATAGATCCTAGTCATATCTGTGAAGCATAAGCGATCACAGGAAACTTTTAAAGTGTCACCTGAGGGCCACAATTGACAAAGACTAATATATCATAAGCTGCACAAAGACACGGAACTGCTTGCTGCTTGAATTGTGAGTATTTGACAACATGCTCTTATATGCAATGCTGCCTTTCTTGGGTGATGTAACGGGTGGAGTAGAAGATGGAGACAAGTAACCCTACCACAGTTACAATCTCCTCCTTTACTGGTGCTGCAGAGTGTATTGTTGATATCAGATAAGGTGCACTCTGTTAAAAATCCATTTGCAGGTATTCTATGGCCCTCCTTGTCAGAGTTCCCTATGCTCTACTGTATGGAGGATTACAGTAAACTGCCATATATGTATGATGCAGATATTGACTGGTCATACTCCTAAGGACCTGTTCTGTTTCTGAAATTCCTCACACAGGGTCATTCAAGCCAGAAGCTGCTGAACAGCTTTCACATTAAGAAGCCACAGCTGAATATCCCCATAGGATGGAGAGGGGAGTATAAGAGGCCCAGAGTATATTGTCCTCGATGCCATTTTCTCCAAATAAGTGAGGTACATTGCTGCCACAATCTGAGGATGCCCCATGACACCATCACAGAACTACATCAACTGCTGGAGCAGAATCTGTGACCTGAAGGTGTAGGTGGCCATCCTCTTTTGGTGGCTGCCACGATGGAAGCTGTGCTAAATCCTCTGCAACTGTCAGCTTCCAAGGAGCCATTGGGGCCCAGTGTGGGATCTTACAACCCCTGCCCACAAATCTATCAAGGCTGTTGCTAATACAATATGAGCATGATCACAGCTCTGCGTCTCGTTTCTCTGTGTTGAAGGTCAGTGCTGCTGCCTGGGTTGTAGACTTTGCTGAAATAGTTGGTTTTCACCAGGTTCAGGGCCCAATACACTATACACGTGTCGCATTAAGAGAGCCATATCAGAATGTGGCTGGCTTCATCAATAGAAAATGGTTCCATTTTGTAAATGCACAGGTCATCTGTGATAATTGGTACTACATCTTAGAGGTATGAACTAAATATGCGGGAAGCTTCTGTGCTGCCTATATCATAGAGTCATACTGCATGGAAACAGACCCTTTAGTTCAACTAGTCCATGCCAACCATGTTCCCAAAATAAATTAGTCCCACCTGCCTGCATTTAGCCCATATATCTCCAAATCTTTCCTATTCATGTCTAAATTTCTTTTAAAGTCGTAATTGTACCCTCATCCACACAAACCACTCTCTGTGTAAAAGAATTGCCCCTCGTCCTTTTTAAGTATTTCTCCTCTCACCTTAAAAATATGGTCCCTAGTTTTGAACTTCCCAATCTTAGGGAAAAGACCTTTGCTTCTCTCTGCCCCTCTGCTTTTATAAACCTCTATAAGGTCACCTCTCAACCTCCTATGTTCCAGTGAAAAAAAAGTGCCAGCACATCCAGCCTATTTTTATAACTCAAACCTTCCATTCCCGACAACATCCTGGTAAATCATTTCTGAACCCTCTCCAGTTTAATAATAACCTCCTTGATAACTCTCAGTTTTATTCCAAATGCTGGGTTCATTACAAGGATGGCTACTGGGAGACAAGGGCTATTACCTACAACCAGGGCTGATGAAAGTGTTTTGCAATGCTTTGACTGATGCTAGGCATTAATACAACACAGCTCGTTATTCCAACAGGGCCATCATGCAAGAAACAATAAGGCTCCTGAAGATGAGTTCAATTTATAGATTGTTCTGGGGTGGAGGTGTTTGAGAGGGGCAGGTGGTGGTGCTGTACAGTATAGTCCAGACAGACTGTGCCCCATTGTCCCTGCACATTGGGCCCTGCTCAAGTGCTCCAGGCAAAGTGGGAATAGGATGGACATTCTGAGGAGGAATATGAGAACATTGAGCAGGAGGATTGTTCACAAGGTCAGCATTGGATGCAACAAGCCAGGCAGGCTTTTATTGAAACCTGGTTCCAACTGATGTGAACTGGGTAATGTTACCATCCATCGATTTAAATTTCTGTTTGTTCAAAAGGCAAGCTTCTGTTTATTCCCAGAAACAAATGCAACTTTTCTGTTTGCTTTTTCTTCACTTTTCTGGTTATTCAACTGTTTGAAAGCTTTCCCACATGTGATGCTCCTGTAATACTGCACTGTGATTTGGGACAGAGAGTAATCAGTGTTCAGACAAATTGTAAACCTGATTTTCTCTCCATAAGTACCTGTCAAGTTTCTGTTCAAAAACTACTGGCTGGATTTTCCAAGGAATGCAAATGACACACAGACTGTCACCCGATTCCTTCTTTGTAACGTTTATTCTGAAAGGCCTCTTGTGGTGCAGACCATTCTGGGGAAGGCTGACCATGGCTCCTTTCTCACAGCTGTCTGTTGTCAAATTCTATGATTTAAAGGTCCAGCATCACAACCATTTTACAGCTCATTTGAAAGAATAAGTACATAAATAAATGCGAGGTTAGAATGCCAGGAGGATACAGTGCCAGGTTAGTAGGGAGTAAGGTACCAGGAGGGTAGGGGTAGATTGCCAGTATGTAGGTTGCCAGGTGTGAAGGATGCTAAGTAACAAGGGGTAGAGTGCCATGTGGGTAGGATTTCAGGTAAGCGGGATGCTAGGTAGGTAGAATGTTAAGTAGTAGGGGAAGGGGATAGGGAGCCAGATGGCAAGGAGGCCGGGTGTGTGATGGAATATTTAGCATAGGTGGGATCAGTGGGAGATATCAGATCCATTGTGGGCTGAAGTTGTCCCTTCCCTAGGTAGCATTGTCAGGACCAACAGATTTGATGGGTGAGTGAGGGGAAGGGTGTGTCTGTAACTCAGTGGGCAAAGAAGAGGGAGTGTCAGGTCCTGGGGCACAGGAAAGGGTTGTTGTATTTAGCACCAGGCAAAGGAGTTGGGTCTGGTGCTAAAGAAAGGAGGGAGTGGGAGGGCACAGGGCAGGAAGGGGTGGTAGAGAAATGGGAGTGTGAAGTCTGGCAGCAGGTTTCGGGTCCTGGGGGTGAGTTGTTATTGGGTGCTGGGAGTACATAGAGTATTGGATCAGGGTCTGGTGGCTGTAAGGAGTCTGGGGGAGGTGTAGTTGGGTGGGTTGTAAGAATTAGGTTGGGAAGTCAGTTTAATAATTACTCAGAAGTTATATTAGATGTTTAATTGTCTAACCTCTGAGTAACTACTTACACGACTTAACTGAATCTTTTGAATTCTCTGATTTAAAAGGCTACTTTTGGAGGGTTCCAGGCGTAAGAGAATTGCCCAGCAGAATCCCCAGCAATTCCCTCAAAGTCTGCTACAGTTGGGATTCCGCAGAGTCCCAATGTGCAACTCACATCTACTTTGGAATAATGACTGTCTAGCCATCAGAAAATCTAGGTTATATATATAGTTGGTGATATGGCTAAATGAATGTGCAGACTACCCTTCAATGATTGGTTTGTACATTTATCCAAATATAACAAATCTAAACCATTTCTATTACAGATGCATTTTCGAAAGAACAAACTGCAGTAGTTTGTATTTCTCAAACCTTGCTGTTGAATAAATAGATTGTCATAATTTGCACCAACGTTCTTTAGGCTCAGTATTTAATACATGTTGATGTCACAAAATAAATGGTTTAATGTGGATCTAACTGCAACTGTTCTTTAGTAAGAAACTGTTGTCTTGTGTTCCTTATCTTTTAGGATTGGCATTTGCCATCTACATCATCTACAAGTTCAGCACATCACATGGTATGTGTGAAATCTGCAATAGGTTCACTTGGATCAATTAATTAACAGCAAGCATTTGTTTTATTTTGCAGGGAGTTCTTATATCTGTTACACAAAATTCAGGTGTGCCCTTGTACACAATTCTTCAGGGAACACAATCTTATTTTTTCTCTTACTCAGTATTTTACCCGTTTCTGGATCTGATATATAGCTCTGGGGATGATTTTTCATGGCCTGGATATAGTGAAATTATGGTGGTAATGAGTCACAATGGCAGTCCAGCACCTAACAGCCCACTCTTAGTATTTATGTTGATGCTGCCACTTTACTTGGGGCCTTCACATGAGAATCCAAGGTGTCTGCCTATTTCAGGGTGAAGCCTCGTTTTAATTTGTACATAGGATTTCATAGGGAAATACAAATATGCACAATGTGCATTGAGCATCTTCTGCCCATAGAGTGGCCTAGCCAAATTCCTTCAAATCCTGCTCAGAAAACCATTCATTCCAGGTGTTTTTTTTAAATCTAGTTTATTTAAGGCACTTCTTACCGCTACAAATATCTTCTACTCTCTGTAGGCCTAACAGCATCACCATTACACCCTAAGGTACAATTTCCAGTTCAGCTCTGTGGAGGAGTTGCCAGGAATCCTGCACTGTTCCCAGCCAGTGAACTGACTGGTGTAAAGATATACAGTATAATTATACAGTTTCTGTGGCCCACTATCAATAAACAACTGAGGCTCAATCCTCATAATAAGTTGGACCTTGCAGCATAGACTTCAGGGTGTGGTGTGAATGTTGCCTGTATTGCCTGCCCGAAGCAAAGTTCTATGAAGTCGATCACAGCACTCATGCAAAAGCCTCTGTAAAGTTCAATGAATAGCTTAATAAATTGACGCAAATAATAATTCATTCATGATTATTCTACAGGTTAGGTACCTGTTATCATATGTGCAAAGTAAAGCATGTAATCAAGTCCTCATACCTCAAATGGATTCATGTATTGTCAACAATGGTTACTATTTCCAAATATAGACAATTCCTATATGTCTCGCACTGACAAGGCCATGATGATTTATAAACCTTGCCAAAAATAAAAAAAAAGTATAAACTGACCAAAACTTTTGCTTCCATTATAATTTGTACTGTTTTACTTTGCATCAGTCTGACCAGTTTCCAAAATTAAATGGTATAGTTGGATATGTGGCAGAGCAGGCTGCTGAGTCATTGTTCAAAATTCTCGTCCTTTCTCATAAAGCAAGTTGGCACAAAATCCACAGCAGTTCTTGTTTACTCCTGCTCTGTCTTTGGCGAATGTTTGTTGGAATAGCATAGAAACTAGCCTGGAAACTGGATACTTAGCACCATAGTCTGCTTATATAGAGAGCATGAGAGGTAGCTATATTGTCGTCATGGAATAAAATGAGATATGCCAGAAAAGCAGTAGTTTGTAAAAAATTTAGGTTTGTTCTAAAGACTAATGTATACGTAAAGGACCTTTCCAAAGCAGAAAGCAGCATTTGACTGTGCTATACATAGCCTTTGAGTAACCGATTCTGAAACTGAATGCTGAAAGTGCAAAACTTTTCCATACCACACCTTGAGCAATGAGAAAAAAATCATTCTTTATTTTATATATATAGAATAATTTGATATGTAGCATGATATAATTTGGTCTAATTATGATGTAAAAACACTTTTTCTATCTGTCCAATTACTTTTCTAAAGTGTATCATTATTCTGCAGAGTACTGAACTCCTTATTCTCACATATGGAACTCTGGTAGCACAGTTGTGTGAAGACTGTGAAAAGGACGAGGATATCAACAAAGAGTTGGATAAAATGTGAGTAATAATTATAGCACGGTAACCCGTTATCAAAGAAACAAGGATGAGAAATCTCCATCTCTGGTAACCGCCTCAACACCGACATCTATTTCAAACCCACCGACTCCCATAGCTACCTGGACTACACCTCCTGTTACCCACCCTCCTGCAAGAATGTGATCCCTTATTCCCAATTCCTCTGCCTCTGCCACATCTGCTCCCAAGATTTAGTGTTCCATTCCTGGAATCCCAGATGTCTTCTTATTTCAAGGAATGCAACTTCCTCCCTCCAGTGATCAAAAATGCCCTCAACCACATCTCTTGCATTTCCTGCACTTCTGCCCTCAAACTCCCTCCCCCCAACAAAAACTAAAGACAGAATCCCCCTTGTCCTCACATACCATCCCACCAACCTCTGCATACATCGTATCATTCTCCGGCACTTCTGCCACCTACAATCTGACCCCATGACCTAAGAGATATTTCCCTCCCCACCCTTATCTTCCTTTCATAGAGACCGCTCACTCCATGACTCCCTTGTCTGCTCCACACTCCCCACTAACCACCAGCCATGGCACCTTTCCCCGCAACCGCAGGAAGTGCTACACCTGCCCCTACACCTCCCCCTCACCTCCATTCAAGACCCAAAGCCAAACTTTCATATCTGGCAGGGGTTCACCTGACATTCGCTAACCTGGTCTACTATATCTGTTGATCCCGATGTGGCCTCCTCTACATCGGTGAGACCAAGTGTAGACTCGGAAACCATTTCATACAGCAACTGTGCACTGTACGTGACGAACAACAGCACCTTCTGGTTGCTAACAATTTTAACTCCCCCTCTCACTCCCTGGGTGATGTGTCTGTCCTGGGCTTCCTCCAGTGCCACAATGACATCACCCACAAACTGGAGGAGCAGCACCTCATATTCCACCTTTGGACCCTACAGCCCGGTGGCCTAACCATAGCATTCACCAGTTTTAAAATCTCCCCATCTCTGGCCTCATCCCACGTCAAACCATCCCTCTCATTCCCGCCTCCTTGACTGGACACAACTTGTCCATCTTCTCTCCCACCTATCCGTCCCACACATCCCACTGACCAATCCCCACCACTCCCTACCTGCATTCATCTGTCACCATCCCACCTACCTTCCCCAGCCCACCCCTCCTCTCTCTATTTATTTCCCAGCTCCCTTCCCTCTCCCCATTTCTGAAGAAGGGTGCCGACCCAAAATGTCAACTTTTCTGCTCCTCTGATGCTGCCTGGCCTGCTGTGTTCTTTCAGCTCCACACTGTTGTCTGAGAAACCAACTGATATTTGGTCAGTAAAGTGCCCATGTTAAAAAAAAATTGTGCAAAAATGTCCCATTTACACTTGAAGAGAATGCAGTTAGAATTGCATCGTACGCGTATCTATATGTGCTTCATGTAAAACACTGGTTGAGAAAGCGGATTTGCAATTTTTTATAGAATTAATCTTTAAGAGGGCATTATTTTTCTGCAGAATGGAGGATTCACCCACGGTGAGATATTTTTAAGCATCATAGAATGTATTTCTTAAGAATCACTTGCCCTGGTGTAGAGCTATGAGCTGAATCTTACATTTTATCAGCTATGTCCAAGTTGTATTGAGATTTTTTTGGAATGTCTGTTGTTTGCTCACTCTTGTTGACTGTAAATAAAAATCCATCTTTGGAATTTTTGATTGCTTGTCTGTAAGTTTTGTCCCCCTATTGGGCAATGACAAAATGCAGGTCTACCGTAGGCACTGGAGACAGAGGGCCACTGACTTAGAGAGGCTACACGCGATGTAGCTAAGGATGGGTGTACTGTGTTGCCTGGTGGTTGAAAGATGACTAAGGTGAGAAAATGATGTTGCATGTGTAAAGGAGTGTCATCCATGCAAGCTATACGCCACAGTCAACACAGCTTTGTTCCTGCTGTGCTGTTATGCTGCCAGTGAGGTATAATGTCACGTTGCCCACACTTGTCCAGGTGCACAGCAGCCTTTCAAAGGTGGCACAGGCACAAGTGATGCCAGTCTTTCATCAGATATTCCATGAATTGCAAGTTGTTCTGGGAACAGGGCATAGTAAGATTGGGATTGAATTGAATGTGAGTGGTGTCATAGGGATGGAGCAGGTAATTAATGAGGCATGCTTGGTAAGATATGGTGAGAAATCTCACTGGACCTTGCAGTGTGAATTCTTCCAAAAAATTCAATGCAACTCAAAATTAACAAAAGAAAACCCTTAGGATTCAGCCCATGGTAACTGTCTATTAACATAGTATTATTTGTTCCTGTATCAGTTACCAAATTCGAGCATGTTCAATGATGTAGTCAATTTCCTACTCTTCTGTTTATCTGAAAGAATTAGTTCCCTTAGGAATTTCTCAGGTATCTACCACAATGGAGGTAACTAATCAGATACAGGTGTATTTTCTAATGGGTGAGTATTCTACTTTATTTTATGTATGGCCATCAATATTTCCATTGTTCTGAAACCATGTCTTACTACTTCTTCTGGGAGTGATTGACAATTTTGTAAATGTAGCATTAGTTGGCAATGGTTAACGTTTGTCTTATTCTCTGTGTTGTCTAGTCATCTATTGCTCTTGTGAGGTAATGTTGGTATTGAATTCTTCAAATCTTTGTAACTTTCTGGTTTCCGCTTCCAGTATGGTTTCAAAAGCTTTCTCCAAAATTAAATCTTCCTTGGACAGTAAGGAACCAGATAAGGTTTCATCAATAATTCCAGAAATAATTCTGCCTCTTATGAATTCCAATTTCAAAATTTCATTTTCACAGTTTTCCACTAATCTAAAAAGGCATTAATGAAATTTTCACAGATTCTCCTGGAAGCTGAAACCTTCTGTTAAAACTTGCCAATTTAAGGGTTTTTTTAACTCTTAAATTGGAGTAATTATATTTTCTGGATTGATATATTGAGGAACCAACTAGAGAACAGGCCATCATAGACTAGGTATTGTGCAATCAGAAATGAATAATTGGCAATCTAGCTATACAAGACCTCATGGTGAAAAGTGACCATAATATGATAGAATTCTTTATAAAGATGGAGAATGATGTAATTATTTCTGAGAGGAGGGTCCTGAATCTAAATAAACGAAACTATGATGGTATGAGGCATAAGCTGTCTATGATAAATTTTTAAAATGTTACTTAAATAGATGAGAGTGGATACGCAATGACAAACATTGAGAAAGAACATGGATGATTGCAAAATTGTTCATCCTGTCTGGCACAAAAGAAAATGTGAAAGTTGGTCCAATCATGGCTAACAAGGAAAATATGTATAGTATTATATTCAATGGCATAAAAATACATTGGTGTAATAAAAAGCAGCAGTGCTGAACATTGGGAGCAATTTAAATGTCAGCAAAGGAGGACAAAGGGATTAATTAAGAAAGGGAAAATAGAGTAGGAGAGTAAGCTTGTGGGGATTGTACAAACTGATTATAAAATATTCTACAGGTATGTAAAGAGCAAAAGCTCTAGGGAAGGCAAATGTAGGTCTCAAATGTAGTCAGAAACTGGAAATGTTAAAATGGGGGACAACGAGATGGTAGACCCATTAACTGCATATTTTGTTCTGATGATGAAGCTCCAGACTTGAAATGTCAACTCTGCTCCCACAGAGGCTGCCAGATCGCCTGAGTTTCTCCAGCAATTTCTATTTTTGTTTGAGTTACATATTTTGGCTCTTTTTTCAGAAAGGAGGACACAAATAACATCCCAAAAATTGCAGGGTCTTGTGAAAGGGAGGAGCTGAAGAAAATCAATATTAACAGGCAAAATGTGTTGGGGAAGTTGATGGCAATAAAAGCTGATAAATCGCCAGTTGAAAATCTACATCCTAGAATACTTAATGAAGTAGTATTCGAAATAATGGATACATTGATGGTCATCTTTCAAGATTATATAGACTCTGGAACAGTTCCTATGGATTGGAGGGTAGCTAATATAACCCCACATTTCAAAAAGGAGGTAGAGAGAAAATGGGAAATTATAGACTGATTAGTCTGACATTGGCAGTAGGCAAAATGTTAGGGTCCATTATAAAAGATTTAATAGTTGGCACTTGGAAAACATTGGCATGACCAAATAGAGTCAGCATGGATTTACAAAAGGGAAATTGTGCTCAATAGATTGACTGGAATATTTTGAAAACGTAATAATTAGAACTGATAAGGGGAAACCAGTGGATACAGTTCACATGGGCTTTCAGAAAGCTTTTGATAAGGTCCTCAAAAGAGATTAGCATGTAAAATTAAAACACTTGGGATTAGGAGCAGTGTGCTGACAAAGATGCAGAACTGGATTGCAGACAGGAAACTGAGTAGGAATAAATAAGTCTTTTACCAAGTGGCAGGCAGTGACTATGGGGTATTAGAGGAAACAGTGCTTGGACCCCAGCTATTCATGATATATCTATATAATATATGTTAATAGTCTGATGAGAGAACTAAATATCTTTAAATTTGCATATGACTTAAACCTGGGTGGGAGGGTGAACTGAAAGGAGGATGTAGAGATGATTTAGTGTGATTTGGGCATGTTGACTAAATGGGATAATCCATAGCAGATTAAGTATAATGTATCTAAATATGAGGTTATCCATTTTGGTCACACAAACAGGAAGGCAGATTATAATCTGAGTAGTAATAGATTAGAAAAAGGGGTAGATGCAACAAGACCTGGGTGCCATTGTTTACAATTGCTGAAAGAAAGCAGGCTGGTGCAGCAGTAAGTGAAGAAGGTAAATAGTACGTTGACCTTCCTAGCGAGAGGATTTGAGTACAAGAGCAAGGAAGTCTTGCTGCAAATTTACAGGGCCTTGGTGAGACCACTCCTGGACTATGTTGTGCGTTTTCATCTGCTTATCTGAGGAAGGGTGTCTAGCTACGGAGGAAGTGTAATAAAGGTTTGCCAGGCTGATTCCTTATGTGGCAGGACTGATGTATGGACAGAGACTGGATCAGTTAGAAATATTTTCGTCTAACTTTAGAAGAATGAGTGGTGATCTCATAGAAACATATAAAATTCGAACAGGACTAGACAGGTCAAAAGCAGGAAGGACCAGGAAGTAAAGAACCATAGGCCACAGATTAAGGATACAAGGTAGGCCATTTAGGACTGAGAAGGGGAGAAATTTCTTCATTCAAAGGGTGGTGAACCTATGGAATTTTCTGCCACAGAAAGCAGTTGAGGCTGAAATATTAATTGTTTTCATGAACATATTATATATAGTTCCTAAGGCCTAAGGGTTCAAAGGGTACGGGGAAAAAGTGAGAACAGGGTACTGAGTTGAACAATGAGCTAGGATAATATTGAACAGCAAAGAAGGTTTGAAGGGCTAAATGACCCAGTCCTGCTTCTGTTCTCCCTGTTTCTATGTCTATGTTTCTATTATAAGGTCAGAAGTGGGAATGTTCACTGATGGCTCCACAATGTTCAGCACTATTCATGACTACTCAAATTCTGAAACATTCTATGTCCAAATGCAGCAAGACCTAGACAATATCCAGGCTTGTGCTGAAAAATGGCAAGTAACATTTTCGCTACACACGCCAGGCAATGACCATCTTCAGCAAGAGAGAATCTAACTCTTGTTCCTTGACAGTCAATGATGTTACCATTACTGAATCACCCACTATTAACATTCTGGGTATTACCATTGACCAGAAACTCAACTGGATTCACCACATAAACACAGTGGCTACAAGATAGGTCAGAGGCTAGGAATACAGCAGTGATCAACTCACTTCCTGACTCCTTAGATCTTTCCACTATCTACAAGATACAAGTCAGGAGTGTGATGGAATATACCACACTTGCCTGGTTTAGTGTAGCTTCAACAACACTTGACAATATCCAATTCAAAGCCACCTGCCTGACTAGTATCAGTTCTACAAACTTCTGCTTCCTGCGTCACAGATATTCAGCAGCACAGTGTGTACCATCTACAAGATGCATTGCAGAAATTCATGAAGGCTCCTTAGATAGCATCTTCCAAACCTATGACCATTTCCATCGAGAAGGATGAGCGCAGCTGGTACATTGGAACACTACCACCTGAAAGTTCCCCACCAAGCCACTCACCATCCTGATTCAGAAATATATCGCCATTCCTTCAGTCTTAGTGGGTCAAAATCTAGAAACCCCACCTTAATGGCATTATATGTCCACCTACAGCTCATGGTCTGCAGTGATTCAAGATGGCTGCTCACCATCACCTTCTCAAGGGCAACTAGGGATGGACAATAAATGCTGGCCGAACCAGTGATGCCCACATCGCATGAATTAATTTTTAGAATGCTAGCTATGAGTGTGCAAGTACAGAACTAATGTCATTTTGTATAAAATAAAAACCATCATGCTCAAAGTGGCAGGATAAAACTGAACTTGCAACGTCCATTCATGTTATGTTCACTCTTTTTAGCTGTGTTCTAATTAAAATGGAGCACATCTTTTAAGTCGTCAGTGAAATATTTCACCAACTGTAATTGCTCAGTTTGAGGTTTTAACCTTTCGCTTGTTATTATTTTGTTGCAATAAATCATCAGTGAGAGTAAGACCACTAAGTGAACTTGTGTTTATATCATTTTTCTGGGTAGTAAAAGGAATTTCCTGTATGCTATTCATATAATATCTGTGTGATGCAATTTACAGGAAATATTAGAAGCTGAATTTTTCCTCTCAATGAGAGATAACAGCCCCTACCGAAACAACATTGAACCCACATGCTTACCATTAAAGTTATTTTCTGTAGCTGGCAGGAACTAGTAAATTACAGAGTGTAAGTAACCAACTGGCAAAAGATAAAACCAAAAACAAGTCACTTGTAGCCATACAAAAGTGGAAAGTTGGCCGCGCTCCTAAGAAGAGGAAAGCTGAGGTGCACTAAAGGGATTTTATTGCTGCAGTCACTGAATGAAATTTGAACACAGCTGAAATATTGTATACTGAATACAGGATTTTAGATTTCCCCGAGAAAGACCATTTAGGATAGTTCTGTGGGTGTGGAGCTCAGGCCACTTGGTAGACATTAACATTTGAAAAATGAGGCAGTAAATTTGTTGGCAACTCACTGTCCTACAGTAATGTGTAATTGTAAGGCTCAAAATTGCTTTTGATGCCAATGTAGTGCTTTTATATCCCTGTTGTAATAGCAGCACTGACCCAGTACCTGCAATATCTTCTATCTTCACAAAAGTAACCGACAGAGGAGTATTAATATAAATTTCATTTCAACTCTGAGTCAGGAGGCCTGGGTTCAAGTCCTACCTGCTCCAGAGGAGTGCCATAACATCTCCAAACAGGTTGATTAGAAATTATCTAGATTTCATTTTAAAGGGAGAGAAATTTAAGGAAAGACATTCAGAGAATGAAACTTTGGTGCTTGAAGGCATAGTAGGGGGAAGGTAGAACAAAGACCACATCTTAAGGCATGGTCACCATGGTGGGTGTGCTGTTGTAGGACAAGAGAGTTTTACAGGTATGAAGCAGTCAAAATATGGATTGATTTGAATACATGAATAAGAATTTTAGAGCGGCACTGAAGAGCTAAAAGTCAATTTAGACCATCAAATTCACTGGTGATGACAGTAAATGGTCTTCCTAGTTCTTACAATGGGTGTGTTGGGATAAGTGAGGGACAGTGGCATCAATGCATGTGGAAGCTGATCTCATACTGTGGACAAAATATTATGACAGTGTGAATAGAAGCTATTGTTGGTCTTACGCTGATGTGATTGCAAAGGCAAGAGTGGACTGTTCTTCCAGGGCTAGGTGGATTGGCCATGCTAAATTGCCCATGGTGTTCAGAGATGTGTAGGTTAGGTGGGTTATAGGGGGATGGGTCTGGGTGGGATGCTCTGAGGGTCAGTGTGGACTTGTTGGGCCGAAGGGCCAGTTTCCACACTGTAGGGGACCTATGAAACTATGAAACTATACAGAGGAAAGGAGGGAGACTGAACATGTCAAACATCAAAGGGGTGTTTTGGAGGAAGAAGACTAATAACAAGCCACAATCATAGAGAATGGCTTTTGTGACTTTAGTTAGACATTTATTTGTTCTGATGGAGAGGCTGAAATTTTTTGGTTTTGAGCTTAAAGCCTCTGCATTAGTGTCAGTGGTAAAAGGAAGAGGATTGGCTTGACAGGCAAAGGGAGAAGGGTTGAAGCAGCATAGGCAGTTGAAAAAGAATCCATCCAGAATTTCTTCTAAAAATCTCCCAATTGGATTGTTTGGTTCATAAACTTTGCTGATCATTTACTGAATTCTCAGATATATAAATACATCTATAAGGACAAGGGTGGCAGATACGTGGGGACGTCAGCAAATATGAGATCCCCTCTAAGCCACACACCATTGTGACTTGGAGGTATATCACCATTCCTTCAGTGTCACTGGGTCATAGTCCTGGAAACCCCTTCATGCACCCTTGGAGCGTACCTATACACCATGGACTGCAGAAGTTCTGGAAGACAGCTCACCATCTCCAGGGCAATTAAGGACAGACAATAAATGTTAGCCTATCTAGTGATATCAACATCTCATAAACAAATTAAGAGAGATACTTTTGCTGAGGTTCCTGCAACCAATCAGCAATGCAACCAACAAAATTCCTTTATCTAAAGTAAATGCAATAGAAAGTATGGTTAGAAGGGAATTTGGGATGTCAATCGTCAGGGAAGTCATTACAGTTGATTTTATTGCTAATTAAAACCATGATAAATTGTAGCTTCTTAATATTTATTGTAATTTACTTAATTTACTAAAGATAATATGAAATGTATCACAGTGAAAAAGACTATTAGCCTAACTTGTTCAGACAGATGTATATTCCTCACACTAGTCTCCACCCATCATATCTTTCTATTCCCTTTTTTTCTCAATTATTTATCTGACTTCCTTTAGAGGTTATTTAAGCTATTTGCTTCAACTGACAATGAGTTCCTCCTGCTAACTGTTAATAAAGCAATATCTCTTTTTACCTTTTGGATTTAGGATTAAGTTTAGTTTAACTTTGTTTGTTTTCTGTAAAGGGGACGTAACATTGGCACAAGACTAGTAGAAGATTTTCTGGCTCGATCAAATGTTGCACAATGTCGTAATTTTTATGAAACAGCTGAAGTAATTGCTAAGGTAAGATATATTGAGCGTACTGGGGACAAGCTTTAACTCACAAAAATGGGTCAAATGTAATGTTAAAGTTTCAAAAATCTCAAACCAAGCAGCTTTTAAGTAGGCTTATATTGGAATTAATCAAAGTAGGATATAAGGAATGCTAATAACACTATTCACAGCTTGAGGGTACATCCCTCAGATTTGTATCTCCATTTTAAGTTTAACAATGCGCAGCTAGGTTTCCTGAGCTTTGGGAAACCCAGCAGTTAAAGGGAGATAAAGACTGCTATGTGGAAGAGATAAATGTTGTACCATCAATATTGTGGGGTTGGAGTAGCAGGAACAAGTGCTTGTGGCTCACTAACAACATTTCTCCCTATAATTGCATTTCCACCCTCCCCCTCCACCATCCCTCTATTCCTCTTCAATCCAATCTCTATTCCTGCCAATAGGAGTCATCCTATCTTTTCCAATCTCTCCCCACCCTAACCTCTCCCCACCTAATCTTTCCAATTCCTTCCTCCTCTGCATTTTTGACTACAGCCGCCAATATTCCCCTTACCTTTTGATCTTCTCCCATACCCTACTGTCTGTCCTGACGCATCTGAACTCATTTTCCTCAAACTCTGTTTGAATATCTGTCCCTGTGACACTCACATCCAATTTATCCATACCCATTCCAGCCTCCCCTCTCAGATAATCAACACCCAATTTCTAAATGCCCCCCTGAACCACTGCTTCCCCCTCACCCCTACCCTGACTTCCACCTGATCTCACCTCCAATTGAACATTTCACCCCCTTGCTGGCCAGCCATTATTCCAATCATCTCCCCTCAGTATCCAATCTCCCCTCACCATTCCTCATCTCTCCTGCTTTTCCAACCTACCTCTCCCTTCTGTCCTCTTGCCCTATAGCCTACTCACATCACAGTGAGACAGACTCTCATGCTGGCTGGCATCAACATAGAAATAAAGACAAGAAAGGGTAATCAGATCCAACAGTTATATTCAGCAGAACCTGAGAGAAGCCATTCTCCTGGATTTCCTAAACACAAAACAGCCTGACCACTCCCTTCCCACTTCTTTATTAATATTGGGTCTGTTATTTAGAATGAAATTGAGAGTGAGACTTGCAGCTGCTTTTCTAAATATTGCAGATGTTGTTACTTCTGACGTGATCATCGATCAGTTCAAATATTAATGGCTGTTGAAAGCATTCAAGTTCATCATGCAATCAGTCAAGAATTAATTCTGTCAATAAAGTGCATTTGCATTCATAATCAAGCTACAGTTCCTGCACATTGGCTATTGTGCAATATGTGATGTGGAAAATTATGACTGCAGAAATCGTTCATTCTATTGCTTACTGACACATGAGACCAATGATGTGTGATGATACTATGGTTTTAAGAGGTGTATTTTGTCCTTTTTTATGAAGAAAGGTTGAGACAGAGGTGACAAACAGTCTGCTCCAAAGCCAATAAATGGCTTATGAGGCCTTGGGTTTTTATTTAAAGTTGGAACAATAGAAGCAGTCTGAATGGGTGGGGTCAAACTCCCACAAAACCAGGATGTTTTTCTAGTTGTAGCCTTTATTAGCAGTTGCTGGGATCTTGAAGCTGGATGTGATAGCTCTTACTCTTCTCTCTGTTACAGCTAAAAGCTGGGGCTTTCCTCCTGCTGCTAGAATTGTATGTGGTACAATCTACTTTACTGAATTTGCCTTTGCTAAAGGTGTCTTTGTAAGATATTACTATATTGGAACGGTTTATTAGTAGTGGCTGATATATAATATTTTCCTATGCATTTCGATAGAGTTACAGTTAAGCCAATTATTTTCTTTTATTTTTAAATTGGCTGTATTTTAATTATAGTGTATGAATAATGAGTATTTTGTTTCAAACCTGGTAGTTTGACCAATCGAATTACATTCAGAACATAATGCCTTACACTTAGCTTTAAAACAAGAAAAAGTTAGGATCCAGACCGCCTCCTTAGTATATTTTGAGGGGTTTGGTCTGTTCCATAACAAATGCTAACTCATGATCTTACTGATGGAATTAGGTTCTTGTAGCTTTTGGCCGCTAATTTCCTTACGGATTCCAAAATGGGAGTTTTAACAGAACACTGTCACTCATAGGATTTTCCAAATGGCCTTTGTGAAGGCTCAGTCAGTGCCCAGTGATGTCAGGGACAGAGACTTACTAAGTTAGGGAGTTTCTACTTCCTTGCCTCAGTCAGGATCTAGAATAGAATTAGAAATCCCACGCTGACTGAGATGAAGTGTGACCACTAAAAACTATAACCAGTGGAGCTTAGAGCAGCCTGGGAACCCCTCTTTCCCCGGTATGGTGGATTAGGACTAGATTTACTGGCTGCATTGGGTGGACAACTGTCAAAATGGACCTAAAATAACACAAGAGGCAACTACCACTAGACATTGTCAATGTAACTCCAAAAGCTCCATTGCACACTGCACTGAAAAATACAGCTGGGCATAATCTTGGGAATGTAAAACACAGAATTTCAGCACTATGTGTTTTCTTCTCTGATGTTTCTCTGATTATTTTCTGATGTTGCATTTTATTTCTTCTTTTGAAGATACTGATTAATGGTGGAACACCACCACAAACATTATTTGCTTATTTCCAACAAACTAGGGCCATAACAACCCAATCCAATCTTGTGCCCAGTTGCGTACTGCAAATACACAAATCCCAGAAAGAAAATAAAGAACAACTCTGTGTGTGTGTGTATGTGTGTGTGTGTGTGTGCGCGCGCGTGTCCTTGTCCTTTCAGAACATCTCAAGGTGTTCCACTGGCAATGAAATGATAAATATATCTTTACATAGCTATATCCTCTGCAAATAGGTTATCTTGTTTACCTCTGTATTCCACAATGTCTTTAATTTCTTTCTTCCTAAATATTAATTAAAACATTGTTCCCACTGGTGGAAGGATTGGAGGAACAAGAGGGCACAGATTTATTAGCAAAGGAAGTACTGGAGGCCTAAGGAGAAACCTTTTCATACCACAAGTGATTAAGATCTGGAAAGCTCTGATCAGAGGGTGCTGGAGACAAGTTCAATTGAACCATTCAGGAGAGAATAGGATTATCATCTGAAAAGCAACACAATGCAAGCCATTGGGAGAAGGCAGATGAAAAGCACTTTGCAGAACTGATATAGCACAATGGGTTGAATGGCCTCCATCTGTGCTGTATCAATTTTATAATTCTCTCAAACACTCACCTGTTTCTTTTATGTTGGATGCTTTTCATGTACATTTTCTAAAAAACATTCCTTCTAACCTCCCCATTACATTTTATATAATGTTGATAGTTATCTTCGGTATTGTTAACCTTAGATTTACCATATGTGATGTAAGATGTAAAGCAAAAAAAACCTCAATTTATAAATTATCGAGTAAGTAATCCAGACTGGAGAATCGGTGTGTGTGTGTCATACTAAGATATTAAAGGGATATTTTGACAGAGGATACACCAGAGAAAAGTATATTTATGGTAGTGAAAGAAGCAGGGTAGCACAGTGGCACAGTGGCTAGCACTGCTGCCTTACAGCGCCACCTAGGTTCAATTCCAGCCTTGGGTCACTGCCTGTTTGAAGTATGCATATTCTGCTGGGTGCTCCGGTTTCCTCCCACAGGCCAAATATATGCAGGTTAGGTGGATTGGCTATTGTCAATTGTCCTGTAGTATCCAGGAGTGTGAAGGCTAAGTGGATTAGCCAGAGTTAAATATAGGGTGAGGGTGCTGGATCTGTGTGGGATGCTCTTCAGAGGGTCAGTTCAGACTTGATGCATTGAATGGCCTCTTTCTACACTGTAGGGGTTCTATGGTTCTAAGTAGTGAGTGGAATAAGAACTTCAGAACACTTGGGGGATGAATCAGAGATTGAAAATTCAAAAGTAATCAGATTGGAGAATACAGAGGTGCTCAAAGTTAGATAGAATATTATGCTGTCTTCCAGAAAATATTGACATGACTTACCAAAGGCTATTACAGAATCATAAATCAATTCTCAAAGATAAGAAAGATTAAGCAAAGTTGCACGAGTAATGAAAGAAAATAGTATCAAGCTCTCTATACATAAAATAGAGAAAGGAATCCTCTCTCTGTAGAGACTTTGATTACAGTAAAATGATGTGGTTGGGGATTTTGTTCTGCTGTATATTTCAAAGCCTAATAAATTGTGTTATTTGTAAATAGCTTGGTTTGTTCTCTTTTATCTTCATTTCTTATGTGTAATAAACTTCTATTTTACCGTTAAAGCCAAATCTGCACCATTGCATGTTAGATCATGAAAGATCACCAAGTTAGAATATATATTGATTTCTAAAAAATTATCAGATCAAATTTCAGTCGGGTTCTCATTTGTCCAGAAATAGCCTCAGCTGTGATCATGCATTCCTATTAAATGTTGTTTTAGTTGTAATCTTTCAAATAATGAAGGAAATTGTATATCTTGAATTATCCTATTGTTATCATCATGGAATGTATTTATTTTATATTCCATTGCAACTTATATTTGAAGATTTCTCACTTTCATCAACGTCTGGTAAATTTTCTGCCCAGCTAATTTTTAATTGCATTTAACCTTTCTTTCCAGATTAGCTGTATTGCATTTCATTCTTCAATGTCTTTTTCCAGACTGACATTGAACCTTATTTCATAAAGGTATTTTGCTCCAAGGTCCTTGTATGCTGACTTTTGTTGCAATGAGACATCAAAAAAGGTTCTAACAGTGACCACTTCTTCTAGACCAGCAGCCATGACTACTTCCATGAATTCCTTCAAGAATGCCCTAAATCAGGGCTTTCAAGGCTTAATTAGGCACATCCAGGGTGTTGTCACATAGACTATTAGACCCATTGAGTCCATGTCCGGTTTAACGTACCACAGATGGCTTATGGTCAATAATTATGAGCAGGGACCATCACTGTGTATCTGCTGGGGCTGCACCTCAGAGATATTTCATCTCCACTTAACTTACTAGAGTTTACACGTGATGACAATTTTGAAAGAGGTTGTTGTTATTTTTTGTTTCTTGTGCTTTCTGTAAAAAATATATTTAAATTGATCAGATATACCATCCACTTATGTTGTAATATTTTAGCTATAACAGAAGCAATTGTCCCTCTCGTTTCTCTTTGCAATGTGGAGGCCCTTTAAGAATGTCTAGTAGCAGGACATCTATGAATCTTAAAGGGACTGCAGTTCTTTTGGCTTAGAGGAAACAATGTACAGAAGAGGAAGGTAAAAGGTAAAAAAAGGCAAAAAAAGTCCAAAATTGTAACAGAATGTGCCCATTGTGAAATGCGTTTACTGTAAGGACATTTCTGATTGTGCCAGGTCAATGTGATACAAGGCAGAATGACAGCTACTATGTTTTGTGGTTCTCAGGTTGCTTTCAAGATGTACCTTGGAGTGACCCCACGGGTGACCTTCTGGAGCCAAACTGGAGATGATTGCTCGCTGTTTCTAGAGAAGAATCCACTCATGGGCTATGTGGAAATACCTGAGAAACGTTCCTGTTTGCTGTACTCCAACATGATCTGTGGCATCTTGAAAGGAGCACTAAAAATGGTAAAAATGTCAAAGCTGTCATGAAAATAGATGTTATTGCAGCATGTGTATTTTTTCAGAGAGTGCTTGAGGTATTCAAAGAGAAAATTGGATCAAAATGTGAAGGAGAAAAGGGTAGAAGAGATTAAGAGTAGAAGTGGTCGCTCAAGATTGCTTTAACAAAGCATCAGCTCAGATACAACAGGTTAAATAGTTTTTTCCCATAGAAATGTTCCATTGGTGAATTGTTCTTCCATGTAAGATTCTAAGCTTGAATACTTCTGTACTGAGTCAGATGACATTATTTTCACTGCATTAGACAGGGGAAAACCCAACAAAAAATTTCCATTTATGCTTTGTGTTAGTAAGTAAAATCTGCTGGAAAGTCCATGTGTATGAATATGGCGTGAGAGGTGATCTGGCACAGCTATAAAACAGTGATCAAGTTGTTTGCTAATATTCACTGACTCAAACAATACTTCAGATTTAGATTTATTTATTTTGTCATATGTACTAAGTATAGGAATACGTAAGTACAGCAAAAAGTGCACAATGTCGCCATTCACTGGCACCCATTTAGTTGCAAAAACCAGAATTAAAAGATTTAAAAGAGCCAAAAGATAAACAAGAAACAAAACGTTCAGATCTCAGAGTCCCAAGTCCCATCTCCACAATGGTGCAGGCACCGCTCCAATTACTAGGGCACACAGGAGGCCGTCGCCACCATGTGAAAGGCCCGCTCTCACTGCTGTCACCCTCACCAGCCCCGCTCTCACCGCCGCCCCCTCACCGGCCCACTCTCACCGCTGCCCCCTCACCGGCCCGTTCTCACCACCGCCCCCCCAATCGGCCCCGCTCTCACCACTGCCCCCTCACCGGCCCCGCTCTCAGCGCTGCCCCCTCACCGGCCCCGCTCAATCTGCTCCCGCCACAGTGTTCCCGGTCATGACCCGACTCCTTCCTTACTCCTTAAGTCGGTAGTTAAAAGGGTGGGAGGTGCCCAGGTGATCAATGCTGCTGGGTGCAGACCCAGGAATTTCTCACCTGTGGTTTTTAGGGGAGAAAATACATATGAAGAAGCTACAAAAATGGAATAGATTGACTGTCAATTTGAAAGTGCTTAATAAGTACAACAGTTCTTGTCATTAATGGGTTAAGTGAGAATTGTTTCCACAACTGGAGAAGCTGGTAATGGAGCAATATTAACAGAGCCTACTGCCTACTCTGCTGATGTGCAATAAAAATCAACAGCATAAAATGAAAGAAACAAATGCTGGGGCCCAAATTCCTTGTAAAGGGGGCAAAAGTACAGTGGGGAAGAGCAAATGCAGCTGCTGTTAGAGATAGTGCTTTAACTTGATTAAATTTTGAACAGTAAAAATTTCTCAACCACAACAGGCAAAGTACGAATTTGTATGCACAGGAGTGGGAGCTGCTTTGTGGTAAGGGTGAGGAATTATATTTTCCACTCATCTCTAGTACATGGTAGATAGTGTAAAAGTAACGGTCAAGTCAGTTAAAGCAAATAATGTTAAATTAAATTAAAAATAAACTTCAGGTTTGGCAGGTTACCATGGAGAAATGAAATACCAGTCCTGTTGCATATAGAAATTATGGATAGAAACATAGAATACAGGAGCAGGAGTCAGCCATTCAAGGCTTCGAGCCGGTTCCACTAATAAGCCTGATCATGGCTGATCGTCCAAATGTTCCCACTTTCTCCCCATTTCTTTTGATTCCTTTCGCTCTAAGAACCATACCTAACTTCTTGAAAACATTCAATTTTTTGACCTCACCTGCTTTCGTGGTAGAAAATTCCACAGGTTCACTGTCTCTGGATGAAGAAATTTCTTCTCATCTCAATCCTAGAAGGCATATCCTTATCCTTAGACTGTGACCCCTGGTGCTGGGCTCCCCAGTCATGGAGAACTCCCTTTCTGCATCTAGCCTATCTAATCCTGTTAGAATTTTATAGGATTCTGAGATTCCATCACCATATCAGCTCCCAACCCCACCACCGCAAACCACCACCAATTCTTCTAAACTCCAGTGAATATAACCTTAACCAATTTAGTCTCTTCCCATATTCAGCCCTTACATCCCAAGAATCAGGCTGGTGAACCTTGTTTGCATTCACTTCATAGCCAAAACATCCTTCCACAGATGAGGAGACCAAAACTGCATACATTATTCTAGGTGTCGTCTTACCAATATTCTGTACAGTTGCAGCAAGATATCCCTGCTCCTGTACTCAAATCCTCTTGTTATGAAGAGGATATCATCTACATATCTGCTGCACCTGTCTGCTTACTTTTGGTGACTGTGTATGAGGGCACCAAGGTCTCACTGCACCTTCCCCTTTCTCAATCTATTGCCATTCAGATAATAATCTGCCTGCTTATTTTGGTTACAAAAGTGGATAATCTCACATTTGTCTACATTGCACAGCATCTGCCTTGTATTTGCCCACTTACTCAACTTGATCAAATCGCACTGAAGCTTCTTTGAACCCTCCTCACAACATACCCTCCCACCCAGCTTTGAGTTGTCTGCACATCTGGAAACATTGCACTTGGTTTATGCAAAAAACCATTAATATATATTATGAATAGCTGGGGTCCAAGCACTGATCCCCACTAGTTACTGCCTGCCACTCTGTCAAAGACCTGTTTATTGCCGCTCATTGTTTCCTGTCTACCAACCAGTTCTCAATCCATTTCAGTGCACTATCTCCAATCCCATGCACTTTAGTTTTGTGTGCTAATCTCTTTTGTGCAACCTAGTCAAAAGCCTTATGAAAATTCAAGCAACAGCATCAGTGTCTCCCCCCTATCCACTCTGCTAGTAACTTACACAAAAAAATTCGCGCAGATTTATCAGGCATGACTACCTCTTTGTAAATCCGTGCTGAATCTGTCTTGCCACTATTTTCCAAGTGCTCAGTTACTACGTCTTTTATCATGGACTTTAGCATTTTCCACACCATTGATGTCAAGCTAATCGGTCTGTAATTCATTGTTTTCTCTCTGCATCCCTTCTTAAATAATGGGTTTACATTAGCTACCCTCCAATCCATAGGAACTGTTCCAAAGACACAGAATTTTGGAAGTCTGACCACTAGAGAATCTGCTTTTTCCAGGGCCATTTAAGTACTCTAGGAGGAAGGTTGCCAGGGTCCTGGGATTTATCTGCTTTTAATCCCATTGTTTTACCCAAAACAACTTCCCTACCAGTATTAATTTGTTTCAATTCCTCTCGTTAGGCCCTGCCCCCTCATATTTTTGGAATGTTCTTTGTGTATTTGTGAAAACCGAACTAAGGTATTTAATTAGTCTGTCATCTCTTCATACTTGTCCCACCTCCTCCAGAACTGGTCACAATGTCCCAGGAATCAGAAGCCTCTGCCTGTGCAATATCTCTCCAGCCATGTGTTCATCCGATATATCCTCGAAGGATCTGATATAGCCACTCAGCCTAAGAAAGTTTGCTTTTTGGACTTCATCAACAGGGGCATAAAATATAATAAGAAGAAAGGAGATTATGCTGAAGTTATATCAAACACAAATTGGATCTTGGCTAGATTATTATGTACAGTTCTGGGAACTGTACTTTAGGAAGGATGTGAGCACACGAGAGAGAATGTGGAAGTGGTTTACAAGAATAGTTCCAAAGATGAGAAACTTCAATTATGAAGATAGATCTGAAAATGTGGAATTGTTTTCCTTGGCAAAGAGAAGGCAAGGAGGAGATCTGATAGAAGTTAAAACATGGAAGGGACTGGATACAGTAAATAGGGAGAAACTGTTCCAATTCTTAAAAGGATTGAGAACCAGAGGGCACAGATTTAAAACATTAATGATTTAAAGGAAAAGAAGTAAACGCATGGTTGGAAAAACCTTTTCCACACAGCGAGAAATTAAGGTCTGTAATACACTGGAAATGCGATTGAGGTAGCTATAGTTGAGGCATTCAGGAGAGTATTAGATTATTATTTAAATAGGAACAATCAGCAGGGTTACAGCCAAAAAAAAAGATTGGCACAAAGCCAAAATGATCAAAGAGCTGGTGCAAATGGCCTTTTCTGCACCTTAACAATCCAGAGGCTCTGGAAAGGACATCGGAGAACTGAAAAACCCAGTGTGGGCTGCCAACTTGGGGATGCCAAACATGTACCCAGTTGTGGTTTATAAGGAGCCAGTGTCCAGAAAGTTCAGTGCCACTGTGATCTTCAGTACAACAGATATAACACTCCCTCCTAATCCACCTTGTTTTACATCTGCCTGCAATAAGTCGTAAATGCAGGTGATGCTCTCCCTAGTCATGTAAAGATACCTCCAGTACTGCCTTTCACTTGTCTTTTGGTAGACTCTCTTTTGGTACATTGACAGTGCTGAAGACTCTGGTTCACCTCTGTGGGAATTGCTTGCACATCTGCACTCCAGTACCCTGAACCTCATGTCTCTGGTTCTGCTGGCCACATGCATTCCTACTTCTTTGCCTCCTCCTTTCCCTTAACCTCAGCACTGCTAGTACAGCTGCTGGGACAGGTTGGCAAACATCAGGCAAGGAACTCATGATCTGGACATGTGAGTTTAGCTATTTTGGTCAGAGGAATAGAAAGGCAACTTATTATCTAAAAGGAGAAAAACTCCAGGGTGTTTTAGTGCAGAGGGATCTTAGAGTCCTTGTACACGAAGTACAGATAACTAATATGTAGGTGCAGCAGGTAATAAAGAGGGTAAATGGAATTTTGGCATTTATTGCTAAAGGAATAAGGTATAAAAGTAAGTAAGTGTTTCTGTAATTGTACAAGACATTGTTGAAACCACACCTAGAGAATTGTGAACACTTTTGGACCCCTTATTTGAGGAGAGATGTAGTTGCATTCAAGGCAGTTCAAAGGAGGTTCACTAGATTGACTCCAGAGGTAAGGGGTTTGTTTTCTGAGGAAAAGTTAAGCAGTTTAGGCCTGTACTCTCTAGAGTTTAGAAGAATGAGAGGAAAACTAAGATGTTAAAGGCGGTTAACAAAGTAGACATAGAGGGGATGTTTCCTGCTGTGGGGCAATCTATAATAAGGGTCATAGTTTCAGGATAACAGGTCAGCAGATTTAAAACAGATGAGGAGAAATTACTTCTCTCAAATGTGAGTTTAAGGAATTCAGTATCCCAGAGTATGGTGGATACTCCGAGTAAATTTAAGGAGAAGATAAACACACTTTTAATCAGTAATGGATTGGAGGGTTATGGTGAGTGGGCAGGAGAATGGAGTTGAGGGTGAAATGACATCAGTCATGATTGTATTAAATGGCAGAGTAGAATCAAGGACCTGAATTGGCTACTCCAGTTCCTAGTCCTTATGTTCCAAATTCAATATTCCCATTTACCCTGATCTCAGTCTTAAAACTTTCAATGCTCCTACCTCCACTACCTTCTGAGGCAGAGAGTTTCAGAAGTGCATAACCCTCTGATAGAGAAAAATTCTCCTCATCACAGTAGATTGCCTCCTTCTCCCCTCTGTCTTGCTTGATATTCTTAATCTTTCCCATCCCACTTCTACCTAGATTCCCATGCCCAGTCTTAGCCTAACACCACTCTTTATTTAATTCACCAGCTCTCTTTTACTGCCCAGCATAACCAATCACTCCATTGGCTTTTCCATCTAAATATGCAGCTAACAGCTTTCATGTTTACTGTTCCCTATCACTGTGGCTCTCGGTTCAGCATCCCAGTTTCCTCCCAACAATGCTTAGGATCCTACAAGTGCTACAACAACCATACCCTTTAAGTTACATTCCTTATCATTGTTTCCTACCTAACCCAACTTCTTCTGAACCTCCTTGAGGTGAGCCCCTTTTAGAGTAAAGCCCCATTTGCTTCAGTCAGTCTGTTTTTCTGGCTTCAGTCAGAGTGGTTGTCTCATTTGGGGCAGGCTTTCTTACTGTTCAGACTTCACCACTCGCATCATAGTGTTTAAGAACTATAAAGAAGACTACATGTAACTGAGACTTCTCATGAGCTGGTTAACGTGTCCAGGTATTACTCGTTAAGCATGTGCACAAAGCATATTATGAAGGAACAAAGTTACTGAAGAAGTTTTCACTCACCAGAGCTTGAAAGAAGTTACCCCATCAGGCACATGCCTTGTAAAATAGTCAAGTCTGTGAATAAAGTTGTTTCCCATTTTTGCCCAACAAGACTGCATCCATGAATGTAATTCCAACAGGTTGGGTGTTCCAGAATACTCATGGAATGCTAATAAAACAAATTTCCTGCCCATCCTGCTTGAAAGGTTCTGAAAAATTAATACCAAATTTAACTGGACAACAGGAAACTGAACTATTGCCTCTTATCCAATTAAATTTCCTCATCCTCTAAAACTCCAGGCGAGCTTGGAAATCTCTGTCCTTTATTTCTTTGGGCGTACATGATGTTTTGTTTATTTTGCTCGAGGAACAAGGTCTTCACTGACCGGGCCAGCATTTATTGTCCATCCCTAGTTGCCCTTGAGAAGGTGATGGTGAGCTGACTTTGACTTTGAATTCACCACTTCAATTTCCACTCCTGTGCGATCTCTCTTTTGTTTAATTTTTAATCCTCCAAACACATTTGGTAAGAATGCTAATAATTCGACAAGGTTCCAGATCCATCATTGAACGTCTTACATTGTCAGCTCACATTTCCCACAATATACAGGGAAACAATTCTTTTCCCCAGTGAAGTGCATTGTAACATATCTATTTAATCCGCTGGGCCACATATTGCACCACTTCAGCGAACTTCAGAGCATTAGTATCATGCTGATAACTCTCTCACTATATGTGGTGCTTTCAGGCCATTTGCAACATGGTGAACTTCCTCAGAGTTACTCCTGCTTTACTGCCATAATTTCAGCTGAAACTCCATTTATTAAGATGGACTGATCTGCAGTGATCCAGTAGCAAAGCTGGAGAAATCCTGAGGAGATTAACTCCCATGTTGAAGAACAAAACCAGAACTATATTCTACGTAACTGACAGAGGTACAATCTGTCTTCCCAGGTTTGTTTGCAGGTGGATATTCAACTACTTCAGGACTCAGCAAAAGATGACAAGGTAACTGAAATAAGAATGAAGCTAATGAGAAGACACAGAGTTGTTCGTACAGTTGAGAAAAAGCAAAAATACTGTGTTGACTCTTAAAAACAAACTTGTGTATCCACTGCTATGTTAAAAGGTTTGGTTGGTTTAGAAAATGCCATTATACACTTAGGAGCATGTTTTATCATTTACACTTCATAGCATCATCTTTAGCAACTTCAAATGGACAACAATTACAAAGCATTAAGATTACAGTATCATTGGAAGGAGTCTCTGATTATTATCTTCTGGTTTGTCTTTATTTTATTTATGGTTTAGTGATGTAGGTAATCATGGGGAAGCTCATGGGTAAATGCATACACAAAAATTTAAAATCAGAACTGTAAATACTGCATGAATTCAAACATACCAGTGATTAAGAGCTCAGCATTGTGTAAGGTACTCAAAAATCACGTTTGTTTTTACATAGCTTTACTGTGTTTAGGCTTTAGAAATCTTTAAGATGATTGTGAAGGGAAACTGTGGTAAGAGTTAATATTGTTTGAGTTAATGCTGCCACAAATGTGTGAATGACTGAATGATAATACAAATGTCATTAATATACATAACGTATATCTTATAATGTACAGACAACAGACTGTATTATTGAAGAATAAACAACTCTTCCATGTTCCTTTTGAAATATGAAGTGCTCACCTTTATTATAAAAATATCCACACATCTACTTTCACTATTAGCTTTTAATAACTCATGGAGGAATTAACTCTAAATCTAAAAGGTTTGCAAATGTGATTAAATTCATTGTGGGCCATTTTATTTCCACTGGAGAGAGTGTGTGATTCAGTGTGAAGCTCTGTGAGACAGGACTGGCCCTTTTCAGTTTTCTTCCCACTGAGGTAGAACATTGCCTCCTCACAAATTTACTGGAGTATTTACCAGAAATGCTTTAATCAGCAGGGGCTAATTTCAATATAAACAGCAATTAGGATTTGAACTCTTCTGGTCAGGAAGTCATTCACTCCTGGTGTGGAGGAAAAGTATAATATTAATTTCCTTTTGAACCCAGTAGTTACATTCCACTTGAAAGTGCTATTAAATTATGTTAAAGAAGAAACCACAAAAGTACAGATGTATTCTAAAACTTTCTTTCCTGGATATACTTTAATGTCATGCAGCAACTGGTATTCCCAATGTACCCAATAAAACCCTAGGCCCGAAACGTCAGCTTTTCTGCTCCTCTGATGCTGCTTGGCCTGCTGTGTTCATCCAGCTCTACACCTTGTTATCTCGCACTTTACAAAGATACTTTTTTTTTAAACGGTGCCAAGCTAAAGGATGTAGGAAAAGTTTCCAAAAGTGTGGGTAAAGATAGTTTAATGTGGGTCTTAAGAGAAGAGAGTAAAATGGAGAAAAGGAGAAAATTCCAAAGTATGACACACTGCTAAAGTTGGGACAATTTGAGATTGGTGTTACAACAGCAAAACAGTTTGGTGTGGAGTTGTGGGCTGCAGGAGTGTTACAGACAAATGAAGAATTGTTAAAACTAGGGAAACAGTTTTAAGCTTCAGCTTTTGAGAACCTTGAAGCCAATATAGTTCAGTGAGGTCACAAACTTGCGAGCCAGAATACAGACTTGACTTTTAGGTTGGCCGAAATTTACTCCCTCGCACTATTTTCTGTTGGAAGAATTCTGCAGAACGTCGAAGGGTTTTCAGGCTGAAACATAACCTGATGAACTGCATCATGAATGCTCTTTGCGTGGTCGTCAAGTCCTGTAATGAGACTTAAACCCACTCAGAGGCAGGAGTGCTACTTACTGTGCTACAAAACCTCTTGACCAGAAGATGAGGCCAATTCAGGAAAACATTTGAATAGTCAAAACTGGAAGGTGATATAATGTTGCTGCAGTAGATGGTTTGACACAGCAATGGAATAGGAGTTGGCTATAAGATGGAGAGAATATAGGGTTGGATCTCAGATTGAGGTTAAGTATGGCACAGTGGTGTGGCACAGCCTGAGACAATGGGCAGAATTTTAACATTCTCCCACTGACACATTTGCAGGTTTTGAAAGTTTGGGGTGATGGGGATGTCAGAAACATTCTTTCACTAGGCTTTCCACTGTTATCCTGTCCACCCCGAGTTCTCTACAATTTTACGATGGGATGAAAGAGGTTTAGGGCATCCAGCATGTCCCTGTCCAAAGTGAGGCCGATATTAATTACTGGTCATTAATTAATTAACCCATTTCCCACTCAAGCTAATTGTTAGGCTGGTGATAGAAGTTCAGCCACAGACAGAAAGCTTGGAAAGTGACGCTGCTGAAGCCTCAGACAAGAGGGGTTACTCCCCCCATCCATGGTCTCCTCATATCATTGGTTGCCTCACCCAATACCTTGTATTGTGCTTGAATGTGCTTCTTACTATCCTTGGTCTCTCCAGGACCTAACACTCTCAGTTTTGCCTTGAGGTGACTACATTGATCTTGGACTTTGGGGCTTTAACTTAGAGGACTGTTTGAGGTTACAGTCTAATCAAATTAGCTGGCAGCCCTCATAGGCAGGACATCTTTCTGAGTGAAGGACAGAAGCCTCATCCTCAGCCAATTAGCACTCCTTAGACAGGGTGATGGAATCAGTGACAAGGATATAAATCTTGTGGGAAAGAGAAAAGGGTAAAGGAATTTGTCAATCCATGGCTTAGCCAGAGGAAACTGTGGCTCCTCTGAGGTTGTGTCCTAAAACCCAGAGACAGAAGAGGGCAAGTCAAGTGGATGAGTTGTAAAGTTGAGAGCTATGCATGTGTATGTTCCATATCAGCAGATGGAGTCAGAGAACACTGAAAATATTGTGGGGTACTGTCTTGCTCTAATTCAAATAACCTAGACAAGTGGAGGCAGTTGCACTGGGTTGGACAACGATTGGGAGGCATTTAAGAAGATGTCAATGTCAATGGTTCAAAGAATTCTAGAAGTAAGAGATTGGGAAGCAAGGAAGAGAGGGAAAAGGAGATGGAGAAAATGAGAGGGGAGGAAGAGAGGGAGATTCGAGGAGAGAGAGAGAGGGAAAGAGAGAAGAGGGAAGTTGATAAACTGAAAGAGAGGGAGGAAACATGTATTAATTTGCAGAACTGCATCTTTTGTAACTGGTGGTGTCCCAAAGTCAATGCAACACTTTTAATCGTGTGGAAAACCTCTTATCTGGAAACAGTACATGAGGAAAATTTATAATGTCTTTAAAATATTTGTGTAATCTGTAATTTTTTTTAAGAATGTTTAGAAGGGGCTTTGAAGAATTTGTATCAATTGTAAAAGGATCAATTGTATTTTTCTTTAATAATAAGTAATACTGGTTCGGTAAAGATAGAAACCATGGTGTTCACACAAAGGACAGCTATGAACAAGAGAAGTGAAGGGTGAAGGCATTCAGTATCCAGATGCAATGAGAAAGTGGGCAGAGTCTGGGAGAGGAACTCCAATCTTGTGTGAAGAGAAGCCGGCCAAGTTGTATGGAAAGGTCAGTTTTGTGTTTTACAGTAAGAAGGAAAATATAATCGACAGAGGAAGCAATGTACAAGTGTGCTGAAAGAGACTGAGTCCTTAAAAAGTGATGCAAATTGTTCAGGTAAGCAGAGGAGCTGAGAGAGTGTATAAGAAGTAATGATTGTGACCAGGATGTTGGTGGTTGATTTGTTGAAAAGGAACTCCGTAAAGCTATGGCATCATGACTGAAAAGACCCAAGCGAGAGAGACAAAAACAGAAATTGCTGAGGTCAACTGTGTTCAGTTCTGAAGAAGGGTCACTGAACCTGAAACGAGAACACAGCTTTCTTTCCCCACATGCTGCCAGACCTGCTGAGTTACTCCAGCAATTTTTGTTCTGTTTTCAAAATTCCAGCTTCTGTGGTTCTTTGTTTTTTTCCCCACGTGAGAGAGTGTTGGTAGATGTGTATCGTGATGATGTTAACAGTATCAAGGGGCTTCAAATGGAATACATTTACTGGTGAATGCAACTTTAGGACCAAATAATTTTATTGGAAACACCACGAGATTGCCCATGATGTCATGTTCGTGAGAAGAGAAACGTGAGTAATAGTGGTTTTATATGAATTGTCTTTCCTGTATTGACTGCGTAAAGTGAAATCTATCTTTTTAGCTGAAGATCAATTGTATGTACGTCATGTTTAATTTACACTTTTTCTGATTCATGCTAAAGCAAAAGTCACAATAAATGAGATCTTCTCGGTACTTTCTTCATTTGGGAGGTCCTTTAATATATCTTGTTATTTTGGTTTAAGATTTCCCCCACATGGAGTTTGCAGCTTTGTGGTAGTTTTAAGAAAAGCAATGCTGTACCTTCTGACTTCATATTCAAATAACTTACTGTCTCATAGAAACTTACAACAATCTCCCAAGCACTGCCGCTTAGGCCACGTGCACACTATCTTTGAGCTGAACATAACCACCTATTATCAATTTTGTGTAGCGACTAGTCATTGAAGATATTTGATAATCAACCTTCTCAGAGATGTTATTACACACCTCCAGAGCAGGTAGGACTGATTTCAGGTCTCCTTGTTCAAATGTAGTGATAATACCACTGCAGAACAAGAGCTCCTGCAAAGTCAGGAATCACGACCACTTAAAAATGCAGACCACATGGGCTATTTCATGTGTTGGTGCTGAGCGTATCTTCTTCAGCCTTTTCTCAGCTTGGTGCACTTCATGTAAGTGACAAGCCTATGTGACCTTTTCATCACATTGCATTGTTGGGGCCAACCTTTTAACTAACATACTGGCTGTGGTGTCAGCCTGCAGGGAGAGGAGTAGCTAAATTATTAATCAGTATTAGTTTTAATTACTTAGAGCACGCTTCTCTTTATGTTCTTAGAATCAGCAAAGCATAGCCATTACAAACAAATAGCATGTTGTCTTGTGATGACTCAGTGAATGCTGGCAGCGTAGTTACTTTATTATTACATTAGGCCATTCTGACCAATTAACCTTTTTTTTATGCACTTAGTCTCCAAAGAGGATAATGTTTTAAACAAAGAGCTTATTGAGGTTGGAGCAAATTACTGCAGATGATGGAATCTGTACTGAAAACAACAAATTCTGGGGATCACAGTGGGATGTCCCCTCCACACTTAACTTCAGCTCTGATTCAGAGCCATCTAAACTCAAAACATTAGCTTTTCTCTCTCCATGGATGCTGTCTGACCCACTGTGATCTCCAGCATTCGTCATTTTCAGGTTATTGAGGTCTGTTGACATACTTAGCCTGATTACTCAACTTTTCCAAGAAACCTCTAGAAAGAAAATACACTACAAATGCTGAAAATCTGAAATAAAAGCAGGTAAGACTTCTAAGCACCATTAGTGAAGAGGAAGATAGGGTAGCATTCTAGATTGGATTCTTCTTCAGAACTGAACTGATCTAAAATGTGACTTTTTTGATGTTGACTAAATTGCTTATTGTTTCCTGTATTTTCCATTTTCCAACAAAGAAGATTTCCCATTTTTTTAATATTCCCTGGTACAGGAGTAACTTAAGATAATTAGTTTGGTTTCGGAAACTAAACATGGAATTTAACACCTTCCCTCCGGTGAATTTGATAGTAGGTGCTTAATTGGTTAGAGTTAACCCCTCACACCTCGATCCCAATTACGTTCATGATGGGAAGGGCTGTGAGTGACCAGCCACTACCCTGGATGCAAATTGACTCTCTTAAGAGGGTAATTAAGCCCATTTAAAGGCCTCATTATGCCACCATTGCATTTAACCAGTGTTGAATATGGGGACCTGCATTGCTGGAAGCCTGAAAAGAAAACTCTGTTGGGTTGTTTGTGACCTGGATGAATGTGGATTGCAGCAGTGCCTGATTAAGGGACCTGGCATCATTGATACAGGGGGTCTTGTTAAAGACCACTCGCTACCATTGCTTCTGACATTCCCACTTCTTCATGACCCACACCTTACAATTCCTTTGCCATCATCACTCGTACCTGTGCAGCATTTATTGCAAGCCCAACTGAGTTAGGTGTAAAAATTGATTCAGAGGTAGTAGGAACTGCCGAATTTTTCCACAGATTCCCCAGCAAATTTGTTATCTCAGATTCTCCAGCAAACCGTGACCTGTCTGTCTTTTCTCCCACCTATCTGCTCCTCCCACCTCAAGTCCCACCCCCACCTCCTACCTACCACCTACCAGCCTCATCCCCACCCCCTTGACCTGTCCGTCTTCCCTTGACTGACCAACCCCCATCCTAACTCCCCACCTACACTCACCTTTACTGGCTCCATCCCCGCCTCCTTGACCTGTCTGCCTCCTCTCCACCTATCTGCTCCTTTATCCATCTTCCATCCACCTCCCCCTCTCTCTCTTTATTTATTTCAGAATCCCCTTCCCCTCCCCCATTTCTGAAGAAGGGTCCAGACCTGAAACGTTAGCTTTCCTGCTCCCCTGATGCTGCTTGGCCTGCTGTGTTCATCCAGCCCTATACCTTTTATTTGAGTTAGGTGTAATACTGGCAGCAACCATTATCTCCCTGGTGGCAGAATTGAGTAATAAAGAGCTGCTGGTCTCTGCTTAGTCAGAAACTCAGCTGGGAGCAACTTCCAACAATTTAATGTGCCCACAGCTGACTGGCTAATGCCCGACTCCAAAAATGACCAAGACCCCAGCACCTCCATCTCCATTAAATACAGATCAAAAAAAAGAAGTGACCTTTCATTTGGAGCTGTTTATGTCTGACTGTTTCACAATGCCATGCATTGGAGTGCAAATTGGCTATCCATCAAAAATAACTTCTCAGAAATGGAAAATGAACAATCATGCATCAAATAATTCTTTAATCATTTTTATTCAGCTTAAAATATTAGACAGAGTGCATATTTGCACTAAATATTTTATTATAAAAAAGCTTATGAGTTATTCCAAATTAACTGAAACATGTTTTCTCTGTCTTTCAGCATAATGCTCGTCATTTCACAAATGAACATACAATATTTAAACTGGCTGTCAATTAAATGCAGCCATCGTTGGAACATATATTCTATAACATACAGACAATGAATATAATTTCTTTCATTAAATATATGCTGGATTTACATTCTTCATTCATAGGTGTCACTCATTAACAAATCAAATAGTTATACTCCTAGACAAACTTTGATATTCTTTGCTTTTGCACTTTTGTCACTGTTACCTTGTTATCTGATAGAATATTATGGTATGAGCTCATGATATGTCAAGAAAACTAAGAATATATTATATATAATAATGTTGAAACTTTAAGTTTAAGTTGCATAATTTTCAGGAACCCCCTCAGGGTTGCTCTCATTCTGTTGTCACAAATTCACTGGAAGGTATAGAAAATAAATCATGTATACATTTGTAAAAATTTTAGCAGCAGACTGGGAGTAGATCTGGGGAAATTCCCAGCCACTGGCATGAGTTTATCAATATATCTGTTATATTTAAATCTATGCTGCATTATAAATATATATATATATATCTATTTAAATAAGTCATTTATTTTTTAAATTTTGGTTACTGATGTTCCTAACTATAGTAGAACTTTTAAGAGTTTGTTTATCCTTAAAAATTTACAATAATGTCTTTACATTACATCAATAAAAATATCAATGACATTTTCTCTTATTAAAATTGTACCATTATAAAGCTTTATTTCAACATAAAATTTTGTTAAAGGAGATAAAAGGTGCCAGAAATGTTTGTGCATTGAAAGGTCCTAACCAAATTTTATCTTCTGGGTCTATCCTTTTTGAGCATTCAAGTCAAATTATTTTGGTGCTTCTGTGGTTTCAGAATGAATCCACTTGATTAGTAATTTGTGTCGGGCAATAGAGAATCAGCTTCCCATTTCATATTCTCTTTGAAGTCAATGGAAATGAAAATCAATCAGCTCTTGCCCAGGAGAAATTTTATCTCCAACCAATGTGTATTCATGGCCTCTAAAGAAAATTTTTTTTAAAAATTCACTTGGGGGAGGTGTCACTATCTAGTCAGCATTTATTGCCCATCCCTGGCTGTCCTTCAGAAGGCCTTCTTGAGTTGCCTTCTTGAACCCTTGCAGTACACGTGCTGTAGGTAGGCCATTAAGACATTATTAAGACATTAAGATATAAATTACATTAAGAAGTGAATTCCAGCATTTTGACTTAACAACACTGAAGGAACGGCAACATATTTCCTAGTAAGAATGGTGAGTGGAGTGGAGGGGTGCTGGCAGCTTATGGTGTTCCCATGTGTCTGCTGCCCTTGTCTTTCCATATGGAATTGGTCATGAGTTTGGAAAATGCTGCTTAAGGATCTTTGGCGAATTTGGTGATAGTGTACATGGCTGCTACTGGGTGGTCGAGGGAGTGTATCCTTGTGGATGTGGGTGCCAATCAAGCGGGCTACTTTGTCCTGGATGGTGAAAAGCTTCTTGATTGTTGTTGAAGCTGCACTTATCCAGCCAAGTGACGAGTATTCCTTCAAACTCCTGACATGTGCCTTATAAAGAGTGGACAGGCTTTGAGGAGATAGGAGGTGAGTTACTCACTGCAGGCCCTCACTGATATGTCAATGTTATACATCAAATTATGTAATTGTAGAAAGTTAGGAATATGATCTAAACAATCATTATTTGGCAATGCACCAATTAGATTAGAGGCTTACAACTTTTTAGTCTGTATATTGCATACAAAGTAAACTTGAGAGATCTAGAAACATATAATAAATCTGTAGCCCTGGTAAAGTCTTCCGATTTAGCATATATAAAGCAGTAGGGCAAAAGTAGTAATATTATCCTGTTCCAACTCTTCAGAGCAATAAAATTCAAACAGAAAAATACAATAATTTAAGAAATATAAGTGCAAATTGGACTGTATTGTTAGGGTTCTGAACAGCCCTAGCTCTAACTTTCACTCTATTGAACCCAGCTTTCTATTAGAAGTGTGGCAAATCTATCCACAGTATTCCTTCCAAAACACACAGGATGGAGTTCTGGCAGTGAAAGCAGAGCTTCTGTAAACTGTACCAGTTAATGCTTTTCAAGCATTAATAAAGTTATTTAATGTCATTTAAACTTGGATTACAAAGAACTAGCGATTAGATGGTGATAAGACATGTACCCACATGAAAATGTGCTTCCAATATGTTTTCCTTCATGAAGAGATAAACCCTCTAAGATTCCCTGAATCCATTACCATGACGACTCATAAGACCTACTCCTCTCTGGCAGGCCTTAGACCCAGTACTTATTAGATGACAAAACTGGTCCTTAACACAATGCATTACTTACATTCTCAATAAAAAATAATTGTATGCAAGTGTATAAAATATATAAAAAGTAACAAAAATTGCACATAGAACCTTATGTAAAGTGTTGTTGTATGTCCAGAAAGAGATTTCGAATGTAAATATTGTAACATAACTTTGATACACAAGCTTAAAAACACTACTTATTTCAGGCTATATGGAAGGCTTAGAATTATTGCAGTTATCCTTGCCTGAATGCATTTTCAAACATGGCTATCAACAGAATTTTTATTACCATCAACAAAGTCCAGTACAGCAGGCACATCCATGTGAATGGTGGAGGATGACGTGCGGGTGTTGTCGGCCTTCCTGTCTGCATATTTGTGAATTGTGCTATAGTACTCTTCCGTTCTGCTGAAAGAGTATAGCAGGGAAATCTCCTCCCATGCTGCCCTGCTTGGGGTTTTGATTTCTTGTGGTTCTTCAGATTCGAAGAAACTCTTCAGATTCCTTTCTGCCAACTCTTTAGCATGCTCCTCCGATCTTTGCTCAAACAACTCATTCTCCTTTTCCTTGTATGTTTTCCAAAACTGCAATTGGAGGAAGCTGACAGGAGAATAACAGCGCAAAATGCAGGTAGAAGTCAAGGCAAAAACCACAATGGCTGCTATCAGGCTCCATCCAAGGACCTGCATGCAAGAAAGTAAAAAGATGCTTTGTATTGTCATTGTACCTAATGCATTAAATCAACAACAGTTCCAGCATGTAAAGTTTACCTATATCAAATTCAACATTTGAATCTGCTGTTTTAAGTAAAACTAACTGATAAATATAAAGTATGGAAGCATTAAGGGAGTTCTGAGTGGGGTGTATTGAGGAGAATTGAGTCTGGAGGATCATAAAACTTCTATTGATCCCTTCCATCAACTCTGTTGATGTAGAACCATAATATTCTTCCTATGGATAAATATTATAAGACCAAGATAAGAAATCTGATTGCAGACGATTTGAAATTGATTTCTATGTTGTTTCTTAATAAAAAGAGTATTATAATGTCAATCTTGTTTTGACAGTCTAATATCTACATTTGCATTAACTGTGCCATTCTATGTTTGAGGAAACTGAAATGCTACAGCACTTATTTAATAACTTATTTTTTTACCTGAAATTAATACTTGTAGAACTATTTCATTTGACACAGGATTAATCAAAAGTATTCACATCTGGTAGTTCTTGCAAATTCTGCCTGATATAAATGTTCCAATATTTCAGAAGTACAATGTTCTGCCAGTTCTTACAAATGCAAGTTAAGAGGGATAGAACAGAGAGGAGGAGACTGGCAGGAGATCAGGATCTGCCAGCAATACAACTGCTTTTTTTCTTGTCTGGGAGAATTAATGACACAACATTTTCTAGAAATTGAGAACAAGTGACAGCGCATTGACAATAAAGAATTACAGGCTTTTTAAAATTGGTGTCAGTAGAAGAGGTGCATTAGTAACAGGGCCTCTGAACATAACAAACAAAAAGGCTTTTTATTCTGACCTGACAATTTCATCATTCCATTCCAAGACTGCTGGCACTAAATACAAATTCCAAATGGATGTCGCAAACCATAATTTGCTCTGTTTGTCTGTCTCCACAATAGACATGTAATCTTGACCATGTTAATGTAATACATAATTATCAAAGTTATCAATATTAATAAAATTTAAACAAAAAAAAGTAAGGAACTGCAGATGCTGGAAATCAGAAACAAAATAAGAATTGCTGGAAAAATCGGAAGAACTTCAACTCTGAAGAAGGGTTACTAGACCTGAAATGTTAACTCTGCTGTTTCTCCACAGATGCTGCCAGACCTGCTGAGTTTTTCTAGCAATTTCCTATTTTGTTAACAAAATTTAAGCTTAAATTATAAAAGGTCTCAACAGCTGAAGATTTGTAGCCATTCTGATTTCATGAATAATTTAGATAATAGTACTTGGATAGGAAACTGATATCCCTTTTTCTTTGATGACACAATGCTCACAGGGCTAAAGTACTTCATTTACTATGTGGTTTTTAATCATTACTGAAAGCCTTCCTGGAAATGTGTTGAAGCTCTTGCCTGGACAAAAGTAATTAAGTATTGAAATGAAGCATACTCTGGGTCAGGGTCATTTTAATTTTTTGGTTTCTCCCATAGCATAATTTCTTAGGTATAAAAAGGTGAAACAAAAGCACACTGAAGTCCAAAGCTATAGCTACAGTTGTGGCTATCATGTTGATTTACATTGGAAGGTGGGGAGAATGTTTAAAGAAAAATGACCAAGCAGCCTTCAATCGAGTTTAAAAAAATCCCCCAAACAACTGCAGATGCTTGAAATCACAAATGAAAATAAATTGAAGACAGGACACTGGACCCGAAATGTTAATGTCTGCTTTCTCTCCACAGATGCTGCAAATCTTCAATCAATGTTCATCTCAGACAAAAGTGGAAAAATGATATACTATCTCTTACACTGTAATGGGATTTTAGCCAAACCAAAACTTAATGCAATCTAACATCCCCCTTCTAGGGCACCCCCAGTCTAGGGCAGGTTGAGGCATGTTGTCTTCTCATTCACACCCCTATCTCATACTTGACAACCTAATCACTTGACATTCTCATTCAATTTGCTGTCATATTGATAGTAACAGTAAATGTGATAAATGCACAATTATTCTCTTTAACAAAATGTAAAAGCAAAGTTTTTATACAATGTGAAAGTATAGTTAACATAACATATGACATCCAAAATATTTCTTACCTGAGACTGTGCACGTATGGTGAGAAGAATATCCTCCTGGATTGGCAGAGGCAATGTTGAATGGCCACAAGGCAGTTTAAAAAAATTGGATTGACAGTCACTGGATTTGTTATTGCAGAGTGTTTGTAAGAGGTATTCATTGTAATAGCCACACATACCACATTCAGAGAAAGTGCCATTCAGCAATGCAACAGAAATCCAAGTTATGGGGGCTACTAAAGCACCCACTGTGATTTGTACAAAAATCTTTATGCCACGGCAAATGATTATTTTAGAGCTATGCTTTACTTGATTGATGCAACAGCCAGTACATAGCTTCCAGGTTCTGCTGCTTATGAAGTATCCCAGTAAAAATAATACCAGGGCTGGGACGAGAAGAAAAACCATACTGTAGGCAAAGTTCCAAGAATTACAGGGACAATTGAACACAACGACAGAGAATATTTGTTCTCCCCCAGCTGTTGCTAAGGCCAGAAAGCCGTAGCCTAGGGTAGCATGCTGCTTCAAAACTAAATTCAGCACTGTCCTATATTTCTCCATCTTTACAGTACGCGTACTAGGACCAAATGACTGTTGATGTAATTTCCTTTCAGACGTTTTCAGAGCACTTCATAAATAATTTATATCAAGTGTTCACTGATGGTGACCATTTATGGGAAAGGGGCTGAGCAATGAAACCAAATCTAATTAAAAAGGAAAGTACTGCACTGTATGATATGCCTGCCAAACATCCCTTTAATAATTAGCTCCAGACTTAGCTCTGTGCAAGTGCCAGAAGACACTGCGGGTCCGGGCTTAGCAACTGTTTATGTTCCCGACACATTCAGGGAATCTCCAAAAACATCTAATCATATTCCTGAGCTGTTTGCAGCTTAACCAGATTATTCATAGAATCCTTTATGCAAATGAGATGATCTTTTAGATCAGTTTACTGAAAAATGAAATACCTTCCATTTGTCATCTTTAGCATTGTAATGAAGGTTCGCTATCACACTGCATGTGTGACCAATCAATTCATAGGACAAAAATTGACTAACTATTTTAACACTGTTGTGTGACTTCATTTTTACAATGATTTCAAGTTTAATCTGGTAAAATATTCATTATAGAAGATACAATAAACATCCCATAACTAAATGTAAACTAGAAATTAGTTCCTCCTGGAGGGGAAGGAGGAACTCAGGGAAATTACAATCCTGAGAGTAGAAATTCCCTAGATTGATTCCAGAAATTTGATTCCAGGTTCATCTTATGATGAGATATTGAATAATTTAGGTCTATACTCTCTGGAGTTTAGAAGAATGTGAGGAGCTCTGAGATATATAAGGGGATTGACAAAGTACACAGAGAGACGATGTTTCCCCTTGTGGGACAGTCTAGAGTGAGAGGTCACAGTTTTAGGATAAGGACTAGCAGGTTTAAGATAGGGCTGAGGAGAAATTACTTCTCTCAAAGAGTCGTGACTCTGTAGAACTCACCACTCCAGTGTGCGATGTACACTGGGACACTAAATAAATAGATGACCAATTGGTCGAGCATGACAGAGGAGCTGAATTGCCTACTCCTGCTCCTAGTTCTTATGTTTTAATGCTTGAGAAGTGGTACTCTGCAAATTATTGGAACTGTAGGTGACAAGTGTTCAGTTCCTGATGGATTTTATCCTTGAGACTTAAGAGAAATGGCTAGTGAGAAAGTAGATATATTTTTATTTTCCAAAATTCTCCAGATTAGGTGAAAGTTCCACTCAATTGGAAATCTGCAAATGTAACTCCTTCAGTCAAAAAGGAAACAGAAAGCAAGAAATTACAATTTAGTTAGCTTAACATTTGTTGTAGGGAGGATATTAGAGGCTATTTTCAAAAATATAATGGCAGGTCGCTTAGAAAAGTTCCAGGAAATCAGACAAAGTCAGCATGGCTTTGTGAAAGGAAAATCACGTTTAATGAATCCATTGAAGTTCGTTGAGGAGGTAACATATGCTGTGAATAAAGGGAAACCAGTGGATATTCCATACCTAGATTTTCAGAAGGCATTTGATGAGATGCCACATCAAATGTCGTTGTATTTAAAAAACATGATGGTGTACATAGTAACATATTGGCATCAATAGAAGGTTAGTGTTATGCATCGTTAGGGCAGAGCACTGGAAATGTTAAAGTGTGAACTCCCTTACAGACTCTCCTTTGCACTCACAAACAGACAGGCAGGAAGAAAACTATGGGTTTCAAGGACAGAGGCAATGACTAGGAAGATAGTTCAGTTGTTCATGTTCACAGGGCTGCTGAGATGATTTTTTTTTGCTGTTCTGAACACTGGTTCTCAGTCTTCTTTTGCCGATGCTTTTATTAGTTTGCAGAGGGTAGCTGGTTCACATGTACAGAAGTCCCGACTTGATAAAAGTCATAGCTTACAACAACTATTGAAGATAAAATAAACTGTTTATTTTTCAGTTTAAAGTCTTTTTTTACTGCAGAGAACAGAAACAGCTCCTAGGCACATGGTTGCTCTGTCAATTTCTCTGTAGATTGTTGACAGCCCTAAGCTGTTCAGCTACCTGAAAACCAATCATGCAGTTGTTGGCAGGCAGAAGGCCTTCATCATCAATAACTGGTCACTAGTCCATAGACCAATCAGCTGCTTGTTGCCCACTGAGTCTCCATTTGTGCACACCCTTCGCTCTAGCTTGTCTGCATCTTGTCCTGCTACTGCTTGGATTAGCAATTGTAAAAACAGTGCTTTCAATGAGTGTCTGGTAATGTGTTTTCAAAAAAAATGTGTAGTGATATTTCAGTAATCTTTGGTTTTAAAACAGTTATTTTTCCATTTCAGTCCACATAAAAAGTACAGAATACACATGGTCTTTACATTAGCCAGCTAACAGGGAACAGAGTAGAGTAGGCATAAATGGATAACTTTTTGATTGGTAAGATGTAACGAGTGGTATGCCACAAGATCAATGCTGGGACCTAGAAATGACTTGGATGATAGGACCAAAGGTATGGTTTCTAAATTTGATGTTAACACAATGTTAAGTAGTGTTACTTAGACAGAGGTCCCAAACTGGCAGGATTTTATTTAAATATCAAATCAGATTCCTATGATATCATTAGATTCTGAGCTGCTACATTAACTGGAAACTTGAGAAGAGGTTCAGTGGTAGCCTCCTTGACAGGTGAAACCTCCTTGATAGGATTAACAGCCAGAAGAGACTTAGTGAAGTAAGTTTTCAATTTTTATTAGTGTCATTCTTGATAACCTTATTATTCAGCCAAATATGACAACAGTACTCGAAGAAGCCACACCCCTGGTCAAGCTGTTCCAGTACAGCTACAACACTGGCATTTACCTGTAGAAAACTGACCAGAAATGTGATGTGCCCAAAAAGCAGGATAAATCCAATCCAGCCAAAGATGGTCCTCTCCAACAGTCTACTCTCTATCAACAGCAAAGTGATGGAAGGGATCATCAACAGTGCTAATAAGCAGCACTTGCATAGAATAACCTTCTCACGGATGCAGTCAAAGATAGGGTTTGTTAATAAACATTCAAAAGGTGGGGGAATTGTTTCACTACTCCATTCATTCACTCACAAACATTCAGGAAGAAAGGACTAGAGAGGGTATAGGTTATAAATTTCAAGCTTTGGTTAACCCAGGGTTATTTTTAAAAATCAGTTAGGATGAGTTACAACTTCCTAGAGGTTTATATGCAATAGTAGTTTCCTCAGTGAGCTGTACCCAGTAGTTTATCCCTCCCACAGGCAAAGTGAAGGCTTCTTTCCAGCCAGCACCTTGCAGAGAGTTTGGCGGCAGGCTGCCAATTCAGCCTAGAATCCTGCTTCCCATCTGGAAGTCAATCAGCAACAGACTTTGATTCCAAGAATTGTATATTTAATCAAATCAACAAGCTCAGATGTCAGTCATGTGATAAAGACAGCTATTTCAGGTGTTGAGGGCCCACTCAGTGGGCAGTTAAAGGGTCATTAAGCTAACATCATAGCTTTACCTCCTCATTGGAATTTCCATTTTAAGGTGATGAGGCACAGCAAAAGCATTGGCATCTATTTTAACATGTTAGGTCTTGATGTTTTTCTTTGTTCAGAATTGGCTGGAAGCAGACTGCTCGTCTCCAAATCCTTTTTCTCAGCTTTAGCTGGAATGTCTGCACACAGCAGAGGGTTCAGAAGTTTCTGGAAATATAATCATGTGACCAACCATTTTTAAAGACCAGCAAAGTGGTCTATTTTTAAGATTTATAAACAGAAATAATATGATAGATACAGTTTTACAGTTTTTCTTTGGATTTCTCTTCATTCCCTCTAGCCATGGCATAATCTTCCTTTTCTCATCTCACGTTCTTCTCATCCCATACTGTCTTCTGATTTACATGCTGCAGATGGAATAGGTGTGCCATCTAACTTCCCACAACACCACCACCAGAGACACCCTCACCACTTTGAACAACAGCCTTCCAATTTTATCTTTTCTTCCTTTCAGATATCTGAGAGTTGTTATTTTACCATTGAAGGAACTGCATGAAGGTAGTCATACAGAAGATACAGCACTTATACTCGATTTCAGTCACCAGCTTAGATCCTGCACATGCCATTGAAGATAGACTAGAGGTAAGATCTGCTTGTACAGAGACACTGGGCATGAGTGGGCTGCAACCAGAGCAGGGGGCATGAATAGTGCAGGTGTTAGCTCACTGAAAAACAATGCTGCATATAGATGAACTCAGATGAGTACTTCATTGGGGAAGTTCCAGACAAACAGTGTAGGTATGTATGCTCAAAGGATTGATGAAAAGAACCCTGCCAGAAAGTCTGCAGTTAACATTAGGGAATGTGGAGGAACCCAACACCAGGTTGGGACAGGAATTCGGGATCTGTCCTTTCTATTATGAAAGGAGTGACCAACTCCATTCATACACCTGTGAATCTGACCACACATGTATCTGATGGTTGACATCTCCACTTCCAATGTCAGCCCAAGCAACAATCATACAATATCTGAAAACTGCGGTGTAAGATGAGACAGTTGTTATGCAAGAACAATTTGCCCCTTGCAAGCTTAGATTACTCTTATCATGGCTATGGATTCTAGTATGCTAAGGGGCTTCCAGGTTGTCTCAGCAATCCAGCCACCTGTCCTCCATACTTTTCCTCTATCACCTTTCTGGGTGTCTTGATGGAACCTCTCTTGGAATGACAACCATTCCTTCTCCAAACCCCAGCCATTGCACCAGCACCCTTGTTGCTGCCTACCAGCTAAGCAGTCTTTACTGCTGTCATCCATAACAAAATGCAGCAGCCTGTAACTAGGCCTTCTACACCCAGAGCTACGGAAAGTCATCCTCCAAGTCCTTTCTCATTAAAAATCAGCCAAACTGCAGACTCCTTGTAGGATTACTAAGAAATAATTGGACAAAGTGTCATAAAAGACATAAGGGAATGCAGAATGTGCTTTGTTGATTTTGTACAGAATGATTTTATTTATATTTTTATTTCAGAATGTTTGTTTTGTGTTGACTTTTATTTTTGGATGGTGAGCAAGCGTCTATTGCCCTAAATTACGGTGGGGTGGGGTTAATTAGCTCAGTTGGCTGGACAGCTGTTTGTGATGCAGAGTGATAGTGAGAGCACAAGTTCAATTCCTACACCAGCTGTTACCATGAAGGACTCTCCTCCTAAACTCTCCCCTTGCCTCAGGCTTGGTAACCACCACCAGCCATTTCTCTCCGATGAGAGAGTAGGACTGTGGTGGCTTTACCTATACTTTTTTGCATTAAACAGTAAAATTATTTATGGTCCAGGACAGAGAGGCTAATGTGTGAGATTGGTTACAGGAATTGGGAATTGAGTTTGATCAATGGTTATCTTCCACAATTGAGTTCCATCACTGACAGCTCAACTTGAAAGTGTCTGTGTCTAGATTGCCTCCTCCTTTCATTATCCTTTCCCATCTCGCACTCCTTAGTTGCATGACAGACAACTCATGGCAAGAACTGTTCCCAAACATTTGTGGAATTATATCAACACACTGAAGAATTCAACCTGCAACTGACTTATGAATAGTCGGTGACCCCTTTAAACAGTGCTCTTGGTGGCTCTTTCCTGGTGCTGATAATGGGTTTAGAAATGCGAGGCTAACAGATGGTGTCAGTTGGACCTTTAAACTCTAAAATGGTGTCACTAGCACTGTAGCGGCATTGCATGTTGATTGGTCCCATGACCTGCCTGTTCTATATTCCATCAGTTATCATTCATTATACATACTCAACTCTCTCAGCAGTAGGGTGTCTGGTATAATTCACTTCACAACAGGGCACATGCACTGTGGGATACCACAGCATAGCTCTAAGGCACTCCTGAGCTCAGTTCTCCGTTCAATCTGTCTGCTTTGAGTTGAGATTTTTTTTTTATATAAATCTGTTACTGTAATGAAGAGAAAATTACAGGCTACAGAATAGTGCAAATGAAATAGAGGATGAGGTTTGTAAGCAATAGAGAAGTTTGAAAAATAACAGGATTTTCAATAATGAGGCACTGAACATCCCAGTCTGCCTGAGGAAAATTAAAGGAAATCTGTGGTCAAAATGTGGAGTAGTTCTGAGAATGTCAATTCCATAATTAGAGGGCTACATTTTCAACAATAAACAACCCTGTACTCGCTTTGGCTCTAGATAAAGAAAGAAAATATGGGAAATTGAGTCAAGGAGCAGGTTAATACACAAGCCTGTTGGTCCTAGGCCAAGTTGTCATCTCCAGGTCAAACCTTAAAACTACACACATTTTATAACCTTTGTGATGAATACTTCTTTGTGTCACCAGGTTTATTGTGCTGCAGAAACAAAACTTCTTTGAGAATACAACATCCAGGGCACACGCAGTTCCAAGGGATATTGCATTTGTCTGTCCCAAAATATATTATATACATGCAATTCTGCCCAGAAAAAGTGGCAGAGGTATTTGCCAAGTTTTCAGGAGGGGGTCCCTCAGTACTTGTCCAGGGTGACTAGAAGAGTTTACAGGACAGTCAGTATGCGAGAATTAAGGCAGTAATAGCAAGTAGAAAAACTGTGAAGGAGACTAAAAGACAGAGAAATGAAACTGTACATCCAGTACACCTTGTTATCTGCAGGGCATAGCGGCATAGAGTCCCCACAGACAAGATGAAAGGCAGATACAGGTCTTAAGTAATTCTCCCAGCTACCACAAAGGACCATGCTATCAGACTAGAAGAGTCAATGAGAAAAAGAGACAGAGTCTGGGGTTGACCTCACAAGTACACAGATCCGGGGTAGATATCCACGGAGTACACAAATACACAGTTCAAAAATGTGTCCAATAAGAAAGTTACTTTTTGATTGCAAATTAATTGCAGGTAAAGCTCTAAGGATTGTTTACAATTAAATGTTGATGATGGGGAGTCTCACCTATTGGAAGTGCATATCAGAAATGTAAACACTGGCTACATTTTTCCAACTGTGGACGCAAAAGTTTGGAAAAGATGACAGCGTTTGCTTCTGTTTTCACTGGTGCTCCAGACAGGTGAGTTTACTCACTGATGTGACTGATTCAAAGTTACTATCTAATTTCCGAAGGATATAATGAACAACTTGGAAAACTGAAAGCAAAGGGCAGGTTAAGTACAACCAGTTTAAGTGAATTGCTTCAGTAATTCACACCTTCTCAAAGCAGATATGGTATGTATGAAATTTTGAAGTATTTAATTGGGTTTCATTGGAGACTTCCCATGATAATAAACACAGGTGCAACTGTCAGCACAGATATGATCATAAATCCATGGATATTTTGTGGATAGCTGTTGAGGAGTTTTTGTTTGGGGGTGAAGAGGTAGTGAAGCAGTTTGTATTTGTGTACACCATGGATCTTTTGTTGTTCGCCTCTTTGACATTCGTTTGTTTAAATGGATTTTGTGTGGATGATAAGTAAGGGTTTTGATGTTTCCTGATAAAAGCAATTCAAGGGGCATCACATACTGAGGAGGATTGTAAAATTTTGCAAGAAATCACAGAATGAGGGACAGTTGACAATGTAGAGGAATGCAGAGAAGCCTAATTGTAGGAAGGAACTACAAGATAATTTTCTCACTTTGCAATCCCACTGAGCAAATTCCAACACACACCATGCAAAATTGATCCATATCCCACCCATTAAGAACAATGAATCATAGTCCTAATAATTCAAAGAAAAAAATTTCTTGGTATTCTTTAAAAAATTGTTTAAGAAATGCTTAATAACATTTGTGCTTTAATGACGGATCATGAAAAGAATAACAAACTGAACAACCCAGCTGCAGTTAGTAGACACATTGTATGCACGATCATTGCTGTTCACTGAGATATCACCAGCAATCACAGGAATCCACACACTACTACATAGAACATTCAAAAGTAAAGAGAAGCTACAGGTCCACCATTTACAGATAAGAGTGTCAAACTGAAATATTTAAAAGCAATGGGCTTGTTAAAATAATTGCACATTTTTGTTCAGTTGGTCCAACTTAATAAAGGGAAGCCTCCTCATGGATAGTGAAGATTTAAAGAATATCAAGACTTCAAAAGATGCTAGATATTCATTGCGATACCCTTGGAATGGGAATGAAGGCAAGTGCAATATGAATAACAAAAGAAACAAAATGCTGTTTTCTTCAACAAGGGGATGAAATACTAATAACAAAAGAAGCTGTGCAATGAGGCATTGTCACACAACTCTCCTGGGAAAGGCTTGGTGGATGATCAGGGTGGCAGATAACAAGTGTTAGTGGTCATTCCACTTAACTGCAACTTTGATAATGATTCATCAAATTATTTGGCTTTCTTGTTAAGTATCTCTCATAAAAATCTGTTAAAACGTATTTGCATTAAGCACTCAGTTGAGTAATCTTACTGCATATTTATTCAGTCTTTCACAAGTTGGCTTCCCTGGTCTAGCACTGTGCTTGAGAACAAGAGGAGTACAAGCAAAGCAGAACAAAGCTATCTAGTAGAAGCACAGCATAGAGAAATCTTTGGGTGTGCAAGCTTGGAGCTTTCTGAAACCGAATTAGCTGTAATGCTAATAGGAAGAAGAAGGTTGCAATATTTAAAATTAAGAAGACTCTTGTGTAGGAAGCTGATAAGGATTGTGCAGTGCTTCGAACAGTGGTTCCTGGTTTCACAGAACCACTTTTTACATTTTTGTCTGTACCTCGTTCTGGTTTTTTCACATCAGAAAAGTCCATAAAATCAAAAGTCTCCCCCATGTCCTCATTTCTTTCATCAGAAGTTTCTTCTTGCATTCGCTGCAGCAACTTCTTCCGCTCTCTTTTCTCATTCATTTCAATTTGTGCAAAAATATCTGGAAAGTTATTGGGAAATTTATCACCATCACCTTTTCCTTTTTTCATTTTTTTGGCCTTGGCTTGTCCAAATGAGACAGAAAATAACTTTTCAACAGCTTCCTCTGTCTTCTTTTTGTCCGATAGTTTTAGAAGACGCTCGGCCGTCTTCCGGAAGTTATCAGTGTTCAGGACTCGAGCCAAGATCTGCTTTTCGAGCTGCTGAAACACTGGTTTTGTGTGCTGAAGATTTTCTTCAACAACATTCACATAATCTTTTGTCTCCTGCACTGAAGCATCCCTGATTGCAGAAGTTCTATCAAATACAATCTTTTGACGGTCAGCTAGTACCATGGCAAACAGTGGTTTCACTGCAGTTTCCCCAGTTAAGAGATAAACTGTATAGGTTTTCTCATTTGTTGCTAGATATATATCTACCCGATCTGACTCTCCTCGAATGCTAAAGCTTTGAATCTCCACAGAAGGTCCAAAGAAAATATAGGCTGTTCTCGTGACTGGGTACCTCAGCGTAGTTGTAACATTCACATAGTGTGTTCCATTGTATGGGTATCCGCGAGGATAAGTCTTGAATGCCAGTCCAGCCTTTTCACTTTTGCCTTTATCATCCATCCAGAACATTGTGTACTGGCCATCTTTCTGTCTAATAAATGCTCCGTTCACCCCGTCTTCAGATATTTCTTCAAAAGGCACATCTGTATTATGGAAATACGCACTCATTTTTTCAAGCGGGCTGTCTTCTGCCAGGTGGATTTGATCTACCAGGAGTAAAAGCTGAGGCTGCAGAAGGAGAAGGTTCCTTTGGGAACTCTTCAGTTTCAGACTAGGACTATACGCTCCCACTGCCTCTCCTCTGATAAAGACCACACCATTCTGCTCTAAAGCTGCTGTCACCTGGCCATGACAATCCCCAGAGATCCCATGCTTATATTTCAGCCACTTCGAATTGCATGCTTCTGTCACCTGCCCTTCCCAAGGGTTGAAGCAAGTACCTGCTGTGGCTGGAGAGAACATTAAAGCATTGTTGAGAAAGGTGTATTTTGGGCCATACAAAGCCTCTGTGATGAAAGGTACCCCATTAGGTGCGAATGTGAAAGAGTTCTGATCAGGATGTTCATGGCCAGCATTAAAATTCTTCCATCCATTAATCCACTGTGAATATTTCTTCTGATGAACCATGTCGTAGATTGCACGTCCTCCCAGTTTACCCGATTTGAAGGACAGGAAAGGTCGGTTAACTTCTGCTGGTAAAGCCCCTCCGTAAGTTACAACACCCCAATCTTCAAAATAATGTAATTTTGGTACCCCATGATCCAGAGGTGGCACTGGAGTCAGAGAGCCATCATACCTGATAACAAATAGAAAGAAAAGACTGAAACTATTTTGACAGCAGCGCAAGGGCAAACATATTTCAATAATGTGGGACCACAAATAACTTAATTTTTAAAAAAATGCCCCTAAATCTCAGTTGAGTACAACAAAATGTAACTTTCGGTTGCTTATTTTTGGCAATTTAATTCGAATAGGTCAATAAATATCAGGTTAGAAATGGTTAATACCTGCTTCTTTAAATATATATATTAATATTTTTCCATTAGAATGCTTCAGTTTCCTTTACACTGATTTTGTGTTCTGTTACGCTTCTGAAAGTCAGTAGAATTATTGAGGGCAGCTAGGGACAGGCAATAAAGGCGAGCCAGTCAGCAATGCCTACGTCGAGTGAATAAAAACGGTGTATAACACCAGCCAGATGCAGAGTAAAACTCTTCCTACTGTATCCAAACATGTGCCTCAACCTGTACTGAAGAACAACACTTATTGCACCAATATGAATTCTTACTTTTTCTTGATATTTGTTCAGGGGGGTGTGACATTTGCTGGCAGGGGTGGCATTTATTCCCATCCCTAGCTGTCCTTAAACTAGTGGCAGCGAGCCACCTTCTCAACTGTTGCAGCCCATGGGGTGTGGGTAGACCAACCATCTTGTGAACGTGGCATGATGCTGTCAATCAGTGACACAAGAGGGATCATAATACCAAGAACCCAGGCAGAGAAACTGGCTTGGGCACATTTTAAGAAAATGTACTTGTAAGAAATGTTAAGAGGGAACATTTAAGGAAAAAAGGAAAAGTAAAAGGAAGGAAGAGAATACTGATACTGGATGACTTGAAGATGTTATTGGCAAATGAAGAGAATGGAACAGAACAGAAAGATATGGACAGGTTGTTATGATTGAAGGACCTGCCTTTTGGGCAGAACACACATGATGACAATGATGATCGTTGATATGATGCAAAAGATATTTCAAAATTGTATAAATGTGCCTAAAATAAAGGTGCCATGTATGCAGCATAAAAAATAAGAGACACAAAGCTCTGCTGTTGCTGATGACAATCTTGGAGGCAAGAAGACCATTTAATTATGCAGGGTGGCACTGTATCTGAACAGACCCACCTTCCTGCCTCTAGAAAAAATAAGTTCTGAGCAAATAGGTCCATGGTTGATCTTCCTGACTCATTGCCAATTGAGTCTTAAGTGGCCAATTCAGTACCAAATGCCTGATCGAGGGAATGGGTATCAGGAAGGGAAGGGAGAACCACACTGAGAACAACCATGCTGCTCCCTGCATCCTTCACCCCATAAAGCCCACTCCCATTCCCACCACTGACCCATGCCCTGGATCCTCGTGTCTGGCAGGCAAGGGGTGGGTGGGGAAGGGTTAAAACCATAAGATGTAGGTGCAGAAGTAGGACATTCAACCTATCAAGTCTGCTCCATCATTGATTGGGATCACGACTGATATGATAATTCTCAATTCCACTGTTCTGCCTTTTGTTATAACGCTTTATTTCCTCACTGATAAAAATCTGTCTATCTCAACCCTGGATACACTTAACTATCCAATCTGCATAGCCCTCTGCAATCAAGAATTCCACAGATCCATTACCCACTGAGAAAAGATTTCTCCTCATCTCTGTCTTAAATGGGCGACCCCTTCTTCTAAGATCACCCCCTCTGGTCCTAGACTCTCTCCCAGAAGGGGAAACAACATTTCTGCACCTATCCTGTTGCATCCCAAAGAAACTTACATTTTTCAATAACGTAGCCTTTCATTCTTATGACCTCCAATGAGTACAGGCTCAACCTACTCAACCTCTGCTTATAAGGCAGTCCCTTTATATTTGGTAGCAGCCGAGTGAAACTTCTCGGGACTGGCATCAATGCTACTATATTTTTCCTTAGATAAGGGGCCCAAAACTGTTCACAGTATTCCAGTTGTGGTCTGACTATTGCTTGTATGGTTTTAGCATGGCGTTCCTACTTTTATATTCCATTCCCTTTGAAATGAAGGATAACATTTCACTTGGTTTCCCTATTAGCTGAACTCAAATACTAACCTTTTGTGATTTATGCGCTAGAGCTCCCAAATCCCTCTACGCTGTAGTTTTCTCCAGTCTTTTTCCGTTTTTCTAATACTCAGCTCTTCTATTCTTCCTGTCAAAGTGCATACCCTCACATTTTCCCACATTATAGTCCATCTGCCAAGTATTTTTTTGCCCACTCACTTAACCTGTCTATATTCCTCTGCAAACTCTGCGTCATCCTCCCCACTTGCCTTCCCACTTATTTTTGTGTCATCTTCAAACGTGGCTATAGTAAGTTCACTTTCCTCATCCAAGTCATTAAAATATATTGTAAATAGTTATGAGCCCTGAGGCACTCCACTAGTTACAGGTTGTCATCCTGAAAATGCCCTCCTTATCCCAACTCTCTGTCTTCTATTAGCCAATTCTCTATCCATGCTAATATACCAGCTTGAACACCCATGAGCTCTTATCTTATTAAGTGGCCTAACTCGTGGTACCTCATCAAATGCCTTCTGAAAATCCAATGATATTACACCCACTGCTTCCCATTTATCTATCTGGTTTGTTAACCTCCTCAAAGAATTCCAATATGTTTGTCAGACATCATTTCCCCCTCATAAATTCTGGATCACGTTATGTGATTATGCATGCGTGTTATGTATTTCCAAATGTTCTGTATTATAATATACTTTATAACATAAAATGAACATACACTAAACTAACTGGCCTATTTTTTGTTGTTTCTTTCTTACAAAGAGGTGTTACGTTGGCAGTTTGCCAAGTCTCTGGAACTTTTACTGGAAGATTACTACCGGTGCATCCATTATCTATAACTACGTCCTTAAAGCGTCCTAAAATACATCAAATCAGGTCCAAAGGTCCTATTAATCTTCAGCTCCATCAGTTTCCCTGCCACTTTTTCTGTAGTAATAGTTCTTTGATTTATTTCATCTCCTCCTCTTGTCCCTTGATCTATTTCAGTATTTTTGGAATTCTATTAGCGTCCGTGAAAACAAATGCAAAGTATTTATTCAACTCCTCTACCATTCCCTGGTTCCCCATTATTATTTCCAGAGCCTATGTTTACTTTTGCCTCTCTCTCTTCCTTTTTATTTAATTGGAGAAGCTCTTGCTGTCGGTCTTGATATTATTTGCAAGTTTACTTTCAAAGTTTATCTTTTCCCTCTTTGAGACAACAAGGTGCAGGGCTGGATGAACACAGCAGGCCAAGCAGCATCATAGGAGCAGAGAGGCTGACGTTTTGGGCCTAGACCCTTCATCAGAAAAGGGGGAGGGGAAGGGGGTTCTGAAATAAATAGGGAGAGAGTGGGAGGCGAATAGAAGATGGATAGAGGAGAGGATAGGTGGAGAGGAAACAAACAGGTCGAAGAGGCGGGATGGGGCCAGTAAAGGTGAGTGTAGGTGGGGAGTTAGGGAGGGGATAGGTCAGTCCAGGGAGGACAGACAGGTCAAGGGGGCGGGATGAAGTTGGTCGGTAGGAGATGGAGGTGCGGCTTGAGGTGGGAGGAGG